CAGCAGTGAGCAGTCTTCAATAGAAACTATAGACACAGAAGCCACCTGGAAGTATTCAAAGCAATTTCGAGGTTATCACTAGAACGCTGTATAAATCCCCTTTGTGACGAATTTCCACCTGGCAAACGCCAGAAAACACTCGTGAAATAGACATTTTTCCTCTAGCGACCGGAGGTTGCCAGGGAGACCCCTGACCGGTCTCTTGCCCTGCGTGGGTAGGATCTTAATCATCATCATCTCTGAAGCTTTTGTGCACCCTGTCCAGCTATTAACCACCAGGCAAGTGGCCTAACTTTACTCCCAAACATAACTTTTTGAGTAGGGCTGGTGTGAAATTATGTCTAAAAAGTACTTCTGGAAACACCAGGCAAACAACCATATACAGCTCCATTACAACCGTCCACACCATGGACAGTGATGAGAAGATAAAGCAGAGTAAGATAACCAAGATGAGGGAACGTACTATCAGGACTCAGTCTGTTTATCCCAGGCATATCCTACACAGTATCAACGGGTGAATATATGGCAACGACAATCACTAGTTTGATCATAAGCTGGAGAAGTACCTTATCAGTCCAGCAGCGCGTTGCATTGCCATTGACAAGCACTTATAAAGGTGGGTCCCTAAAAAGGGACCAGCTACTAGAAGAACAAGAAAAACGAAAGGAGCAAGACCTGTCAAAAAGCATGCAACATTCATGACAAGGTGAAGCCTCGATGGCTCCAACAGCCATCACTTAACAGGAAGCTGTAATGAAAACTACAGGGGCGAGGGGGGAGCGACATCCTCAGACACAGGTATGGATTGACGACTGCAAAAGAAAAACACTACAATTAAGATGTCTCCCTCCACTTACATCCTAATCAGTCCATTTTATAAGGAGCTACATTATAAAACTATGTTAAGAGGCCTCAAGTCTTACCAAGTCATCGTATCATTGCTTAACATTATCATTATGCTTACCTCGGCAAGCCGTTAACAGTCCTAAAAATCACTTATCAAGACAAAACGCTAGGTTTCAAGTTCAGTATATTACTGTATGCCTTACATTAGAAATTCTAAATTTATTACAAAAGAGAGAGAAAAAAAAAGTGCATTTATACCAGTAAGAACCAATTCATTCTTGGTGATGTCTTATAGCTCTGTTTTGCAAATACTCTATTTAAAAAGAAAAAAAAGAAAAAAGAAAGCAGCAAATATGATTCTCAGCTTGCCTACAGTATTTAAACTCCTGTTGCAGTGTTGGTTTTTTCCCCCAAACAAAAATGCGCACAGGTTGATTAAACCTGCCTATAATCTGCTCTTCGCACATGTGCGCGCTGCCTCCGTTTTAACTACATGGACACTGATTAGACAATATGCATGAAAAGGGAGGACAAAAGAACCACGCACGTGACGGCTTTACGTCATGGCAAGCCTCCCCGTTCGGACGACGACTAGCGCGATAAATGGAGAAGGAAAAAAACAAAACGATACAAAAACAAAACCCATTTACTCTAACGTGCATCACTTAAGAGGTGATCGTATGCCATGCAATATTTTGGTACTGCGGTGGTAAAACCTTAAGAGGACAGATGTACTGCGTCTCTTTGCCTCCGACAAGGGAAGGAAAATAGCTACAAGCCTGAAGATTTTCAGCAACCAAGGGAAGAGGAAGTAAACGTGAAACGGAGGGAGAGAGGAAAAGAAGAAAAAGACCCATGTGTATGCACACAAAATGCTTTGATGATTTTTGCAGTGAAAGGTGCAAAAGAAACTGTGTGCACATTGTTACATAGTAAAAGCGCCTGTTTTTATTATTTAGCCTCTGGCACGAGCCTGTTTAAACACCTGTGTGGGGTATTTGGGACTGTGGCACCCTATGCTGTTTCAGATAATTCCTTTTTGTTTTGTTTTTAAAAGTGTACCTATCTGCCACCCCCCTCCCCTCCCAGCCGTCATCTATGTCAGACTAATTTAAAAAAAAAAAAAAAAAAAAAAAAAAGAGGAAAAAAAATATCGAGGAGGGGGGAGGTCGAACTTGGCCTCCGTTTTGCCCTCACCTACCTAGAATCCCTGCGGTGCTGTTGGCGAAAAGTCACTTTTGAGCATTTTGGATTTAGTGAGGCGTTTTATCCGAGAGGTATGTGTATATCCCCAGTTTACCCTCCCCACACCCACCACCCTCCTCCCACCCTCCCTCAGAGAGACAAACAGGGCAACGGGGGAGGGGAAATGGAGGCTATCCGCAGAGTGGAGGGTCAAGGCCAGTCACGTCCCTCCAGCTCTAGTTTCTCCCCACGTTCTGGCAGTGCAATGAGTTCCCCTGTTACCCTCCCCTTCATTAACCTGGGGGACAAGCAAACACAAGAACAGAGGAGACACTTTTAAACCACATCGTGTGAACAGATGCATGCAGAGCTGATAATGAAGCGGTTAAAGTGCGATTCTGGATCAGAAAAAATGATTTGGGAACAAAATGTATCATTGTTTATCAATGAGCTGGGTGTTTCATCACTTCCAGAGGAGGGCTGAGGGGTATTTCATTTGGGTGACATCATTTGGTGAACATACCTAACAGGTCAGTGTCCTGCGTGGACCAAAGGGGTGGCCGGGTTAGACGCCGTAGCAGGCTGACAGGCGCTCCTTCAACAGAGGAGGGAACTGCTCAGAGAACTGCTGCCAGTTCTCCTCTCCGACCTGGTCCTTGAAGCCATGCAGGATCTTGGAAAAACAAATGAGACTTGATAAATTCTGCAGCAGGCGTTCAAATCTGAAGGTCAGACTTTGTGGGCGAAGTCTTTCGCAGGCTGATAGCAGACTGTCTTATGGCAACATTAATGGTAGATTTTCTCACTGGGTTGCTGTGCTTGACAATCTCAGTTTGCAGCAACTGAAGCGAGATAACTTGATAAATCATTACGTGTTGCTGACATATTCAAACAGACTGGAAAATGTTAAAAGTCACCATAATATATGGAGGGGTGTCTGTTCACTGCAACATCAGTTTATGGTCTCAGTTGCTGGCTTCATGTGTTATTCAATACACAACACACTTGTTCTGACTGTAAAGACACTAAAGAGATAGCTGTTCAGTTTTTTAAGCTAAAATAGCTTTGACATTTATATCACAAATAAACCAGCTAGTTAGCACTAGCTCTTTAGCTCCTCCTTACCGTCCAAATAAAGTCATGACAGCATAACAACCACACGACGACAATCAAAATTAAAGGCAACGTTTCATAATGGCAACCCACAAATTAATGTGTAACCTTAAAGTGGCATCATCCATTTTCAATATACAGTTTTTGTACATCTAGCTATGACCTTGCAACTGCAGCTGCATCTTGGGCCGAGCACCTAAAACTAATTTAAAGACCCCTCCACGATCTGGATTGCTCAAAGTAGAGGCCTAATGTTTTAAGCTTTAGCAAGAGGGATTTCTAAGGCTACCCAGAATTGATTAGTATTGATTATTATTATATTATAGTACTCATTATTGACTGATCAGCTTGACTTAGTGATGTACCACACTTCTCAGACTTCAAAGCCATCTGCACCATGCCGTCAGATTTCCGATGTCTGATTAATGATCATCATAGGTCGGTGACCCAAAACTACACAAGAGGGAACGTTTTAATCACAAACGCTGGTCCATCCTGCAGACTGTCACAGAAATATGATTTTTGATGAAGTATTTACCTTATAAAACATGTCCCTCAGGTCGTCCTTCGGGTTCACCCATGAGGCCACAGCATCACAGAAGAAAATAAAGTCCTGAACACAGAAGACTTGTTAACTCAGCACTTGCCAAAGTAGACCTCCCCTACTTCTCTAACCCCTTTAAAGCAATATCACCTTACCTGCACCACTCCTGCAGGGTTCACGCCGATCATCACACAGATTCCCCGGAAAGCTGAGTCCTTCTCCTCATTATCTCTTATATTCCTCAACGACGTGCACCTGTGAACAGGAGCAATGTGGCGACAGAAGAATGAGTTCAACTTGGGGTTTTTTTGTTTGTTTTACAGCAGCTCCACTTTGAGCAATTTTTCAACTATTTTCAACTATCTTTAGTTTTTCAACTTTTTAAACTAACAAGTTAAAGAGTTTTTACTCATGCTGTGAAAGTAGAACGTGAAAAAAAAAAATCAATCATATATGGTAATATCCATACTGGGACTCACCATGGCCTAATGAAATGCTGCAGCTGTGGCGCCACTTCCTGAGGACACACGAAACCCAGCCTGCCGATCGTAATGGCTGCATAGAGAGACATAAAAGAAGTCTTCAATATCAGAATCAAATTTAAGAGACACACTTATCATCATTCTGTAGCTGATTGTTTACCTGTGTTTTCCAACAGAGTCTTGGGAGTGTTGGGTCTATTGATGATCTCCACCAGGTGTGGCAGCACCATACCCACATACGGCTGCATTTCTGCACCTGGAGAGCCACAAAGAAGAGAAGGAGGCAGTGAGCATCCTGCAGTGTGGATACAACATGGTAACGTCTCTAAGTGTGTTAAAGCCAGGAATTCATTGCCAATCAGGCACAAGACAGAATCGGACCTGCTTCAATCGAATAAAAAGGAACACGTGAAAAACCTAAAGCTGAAATATCAAAAATACCCAACACTGATTTAACTTTCTTCAGGGCTTCATTGGTCATAAGTTACTGAGAAGAGCTTTCAGGTCCTTAAAAAAAAAAAAAAGAAAGAAAAGGGAGTGTCTGAACACTTATCAGCAATAAAACCATTTGCAGTTACCAAGCCCTTAAAACCTAAACAAGCCTTGGTGTTGTCTCTTACTTAAATTCAATAGAAAAACTAGTTTCTTACTAAACTATTAAATAAGATTTGTGAATAGTAAAAATCCATTTTGAGAATCAGGTTCTGAACACGTCTTTGATTCAAGTTTGTCTCAGCCAAAATATGTCGCCCACACTGAGGCAGAGTTTACAATTCCTGAACGTACGAGCTCAGACTGCACAGGCCTGCATGCAACATGTACTGTGAATGATCTGGATCAGAAAACATTATGGGAACAAAATGTATCACTTTGTGTCAATGAGCTGGGTGTTTCATCATATCCAGATACTGGGGGGTGGGGACGACGACAGGAAAACCATCCACAATAAGATCTGTTACTTACCCATTTGCATGGAGATCTCCCCTATGGCCCAGGTGGCGTTGTTACACACGGAGATAAACTCTGGGTTCAGGTTGAGCCCAAGGATGGGCATGAACTCAGCTGGAGAAGAGAAATGGACACCAGTTACAACAATGATTCACAAACACACAGCTGGATATTCATTTCAGCCTCCTATTTTTTACAGCTCATCATTAAAGACATGAGCTCATGAGTGGCTACAACAATCACTAAATCTGGGTGTTCCCTGGTAATAAAATGAGAGGGCAGCTAGTAAATCAGTCAAAATGTGACAAAGTTGCTCTGATAACGCACGCTCACCAATACAGGGCTTCACGTGGAGGAAGCATGCCTTTGTTAGATCGCCCAGGAGAGCAAAGGAGCTCTGCCTCACCTCGGGCATGGTATCCTGCAGCAGAACCACATAACTTGGTGTTACACAGGGATCACAGAAAACTCAGAGGGAGAAAAAAATCCCCCCAAAAAAAACAAAAAAACAGAAAAACTAGTTTTTGCATGTAGAAAAATAAAGAGAACTTCCATCACACCTGCATGCACTGGAAAAGCAGGGTCATGATGTTAGAGCGAGCCACAAGCTGTTCCACGTGTCCTCCCAGACCTTCAGCCAGGCCGCTCAGCAGATCCAAGGCCACAATCATGAAATCCTTGTCAGGAGCTTCATACTGGTCTGGATGCTGGTTGTACATCTATGTAGACAGAAAGAAAAAATGTGAATTTTTAAGCACCAGTTCAAGATTTAAACAGACTCCACCACATTTATTCTATTCATGCTTGCTCTCTCACCATAGCCTGAGCAAGTGTCTTCTGGACTAATGTGACACAGCGCTGATAGACGGGCTCGCAGTAGGGCAGAAACCCACTTTGCAGGGCGGTGGCTACTGACGACAGACACTGAAAGACATCCGGACAGCACAGTTTTGTTTGGGTTTTCTTCTCCTTCCTCTAAATGACGTAAAGCATTTTTTCTTCGACATACTTGGACATGTCAAACAGAAAACAGGAACCCTGTTTCTAAGCAGCGCTAAATTTACTCACCTCCAGCAGAGGGAAGAGATCCTTGTCTTCGTCCTTCAGCTCGTTCCACTTTGCAATAAGAGGGGGCATCAGCTTCTGAATGTACTCCTGAAAAAGCAACACAGTGGTAACAGCTCAGGCTTTCTGCAACAAATCAATGATTCCCTGTTATTAGTCTCCTCCCAAAGCTAAGCAACCCGATTGACTTGAGTAAATTCAAGACAAATATACAAGATCCAAATCTCAAACTCACAGGCTGATTGAGATGGTGACCCACTGAATCTGCCAGAGTTCCTATGGCATCATACAGGATGAGCAGATTCTTGTGCTGGTACTTCCCGAAAGCAAAGACCAGAGTGTCCAGAATGTAACTCAGATATGGCACCAGCTCTGTGCATGCCTCTTCCTCCAAGGTTGCAAATGCACTGAGAAAAAACAAGATGATGAAGGTCAATGCTGAATCTACACACACAGTCTTGTGGTCCAGGAATACCACAAGCAGGATGTGGATCAGAGTACAATATGGGAACAAAGTGTATCATTGTAAGTCAATGAGCTGGGATTTTCATCACGTCCACGTTAGAAGGGAACAAAGATTGCAGCGTGGCTCACCTGCAGGCGGCTTCCTGCACCTTCTTGTTGCTGTCCAGGATGCGTTTCAGGAGCTCCGTCATGAGCGGTTTGAGATACGAGTCGGGGGGCTGGGAAACCACCCAGTGTGCATAGCGACTCAAGGTCCAGCAGGCAATGGAGCGGACCAGGGCCTTTTTGTCACACAGACACTGGATGAGGTGAGGGATGAGCTCCGGCAGGTAGGGCACCATGCCCTGCATGCAGCCTAAGCACAGAGTGAAAGCACGAGTGAGAACGACACCAGACCTTCTGCAGTCAGCAGAGCAAATCTACTGATCCTAATAATCATTCGCCGGCAGTATGTGGCATAATGCAGCTCTTCCCTGTGAAATTCTGTCTCACACCAATGTGTACTTGCGATGTGCATCAATTTAGGCGTTATATCACGAGAAGACTGCACAGCTGATTTGCTTCAGAGGAGACGATACAAATGTAGGTTTCTCTGCTTTATGCCTCTTAACCAACACTCAGACTTCAGATCTCACTGCATACATGGAACAGAAGCAACTCAGTTCTGTTTTAGTACAAATCTACTACGTCACTTGTTGTAAACAGAAACCTCAATCGCAAGCTTAATCCATCGCGCCCACTGCACTCCACACTACTGAGGAGCAGAGCCTAACTCATACTTATTCAACCTTGCTGCAATAAAGAACGCTTCAGGAGCTCATTCCTACAAACTCTGTGAAACTAAACAACACTTCTTTCTGTGACAGGTTCATTCTGACTCTCTTGCCAATCTGGGCAGTCATTAATCCATCTGCAAATCACTCTTTATTCATGCAAATTTAAAAAAAATTAGGCTGAACAGTTTGTAAGATTGCATTTGCATTCCCTCTTTTGCTCATGAAACAGACCATTTACCTGCATGCTAAGCCCGACAAAACGTGATTGGTTATTATAACTCAGACATTCCAACACAGACATCACTTTATACAGATTACTTTTGACAGATGTGGTTCTGCATAAGGTTGGCGACCTAATTAGGCACCGTTGAGGGAATTCTAGGTATCAGTTGAAATGGGAAAGTACCAAATCCCAGTTCTGCATCCAAAAGATTTGAGAAGTCCCCTCTCTATGTTTCTGCCTCTTTCCCAATTGAGAAATATGAAGACTGCTTTAGCAATTTCAGAAAGAACAGTTTGACACAAATTACTTTTCCAATCAGGATTCACCACATCCGCAGATAATGCCAGTAACTTTGAATAAAGCATAGACGGCACTGTGGGGGTGATTTCTTAATCAAATCAGGTGTCCTGGTGATACCAACCCTGTGCTAATGAGGCATGACATTAGAAATCTATAATGTGTCCTTCAGAACACCAAGTGAATGTCTGCATGAACATGCAGACAGGCTTTTTGCACACTGCATATAATAAGGTTAAACCTCATTACTAGATCTCAACTAGGGACAGATAACTGTCTATGCATAAACTGGGAACATTTCAGGAAGGTGTAGCTCGGGTTTTTGCAGCTCTGACCACTAACCAGAAAATCTGTAGATTGCATGAAAAATGTGTGTCCTTTCATCTTACCCTCAGCTATGGCCCCCAACACCAGGATACCAGACTCCTTGATCACCCAGTCAAGGTGAAAGAGCAGGCCTTTCAGGAGTGGCAGGAGGTGGGGTAGCAACTCGTCACGGAACACGTTGGCCAGCACGTCCAGTGCTGCTGCAGAACATTTCCCTACGTGACAAAGAAAAGTTTGGTTACAACCCGACACCTAACCTGCCATTTCTCTTATATCACCTGAAACTACAGCAGGTTTAAGTTTTCTAAAAACTCACTGCATGTACTTCCTGAATGACATCCACATGTCCACTCACAGCTTAAAAGGTAATAGATCTGTGCTACATTTGGGAAGGGGCCAGTTGGCATATTAATACCTGATATACAACATAAATGGAAACCAAAGTACAACCAGTCAAGTCACTACACTCACATTCTGGCAAATAATGTGTTTCTCCACCACTTACGCAGATTCCAGTCAGACAGCGTGTCGTCATCGTCGTCGTCGTCTTCCTCGATGTCCTCCCCCTCCTCCCCCTCGCCTCCTTCATGCTGCAAAGTGACCGTGCGCGACTTGTGGAAACGGGGTTTGATGTCCTGCTCGCTGTCTGGTACCGCCTCGTCCTCCTCCACGTCACCCTGGGGGAACGGTCAAAAAGCAGATTGATGGCAAAGAAGTACAGCTGGGTATCCCAAGCATTCAAATACCTACGATGGCACTCACCTTCAGTAGTATGATGTCTATCTCAGAATACTTCATCCCATTTACTAAGATAGGGATCAGTCTATATTAAACAAGTGAGACAAAAGAGGATATCCTTGATTAAAAAAACACAGATGGAAATTCACACTAATAATAGGCACATACTAACAATATTTAACAAGCTACTCACTGCACTAGGTGTCCGGAGAGCACCTCTTTACAGATGGGTTGCTCTGCTAGAGTCAGCCAAAACTCGCAGGCCTCCAGAGCCACGTTCTCGTCAGGGTCCTGGGTTCGCTGCAGCATGTACTGAAAAGCAGATGTTTGAGAATGGGAATGTGTGATCAGGTGAGTGGGAAGGGAGGAAAAAAACAAAAACCAGCCTAAGAAGAAACTTGAGAGAAATCTGGATCAGAAACATTAGGAACTTGAGGTATCATCGTGCTTCAATGAGCTGGGTTTCTCATCACATCCAGATGGGCTCCAAGTTCCACGTATTTACACGAAAATGTGGCGTACATGTCCTTTTACTTCCACTGTGTGCTCCACAGCTGGTTATCTGGTTGTCCTAACACTCACCTGGATGATGCTGTGCATGTGGGGGATGAGGCGGTCGATGCGGACCTCCAGTAGCATTACCAGGGCTCGGCATACATTCTTCCTGACCTCAGAGTCCTCATCTGCTGCCAGCGCAAACAGGCTCTAACAAAGGAGAAGAGGAGCAAAAAGAAAGGAGTGTGAAGTAGGCACAAAACTAACACAGCAGCCTGATACCGAAGCACACACAAGCTCACCTCTATGAAAGTGTCAATGTTGTCCATCAGGGCTTGGGCTCGGCCGATGATGAACTGGTTCACGCAGGCTATGGCATGGGATCTGCAGAGCAACAACAACAATGATCAGACATTGTAGTGATGAAGAAACTGGTTCAAATGAAAATGCCTCAGATAAGAACCTTGTATAACTTACATGTGCCTTTCATTTAAACTGAAAACACCGGAAGGCTATAGGTCTACATAACGTAAAACAATAAATCTGCTAATAAATAAAGGAGTTATGAAAAGATCTGATCAGATAAGCACATTAAAACTCGCTTACATGCTCACAATGGTTCCTACCGTAGTATAAATATTGTAATGAGGAAGAAAACTTGCCACTGAAACCAATCAACACGACTCTTAACTAACCATATACAGTCAGGCAAATGTTAGCATAAATCACACCCAGATTCTCTCTTTCTTGTACCTAATCTTGGGGCTGCAATGCTTGAAGAACTGAAGAAATTTGGGTATCATTATGTTGAGGGGTCTGTTCAGAGCGTCGCTGTCCAGCAGCTCCGATGAATCCTCGCAGATCTTCTGCAGTGCGCCAAATGAGCCCTGAGACACGGACATACACAGAGAAGCTGTCAAATCAAACGCAAACGTACAGGGACACAGAGGAGAGAACGAAGACCGCATCAGACAACAAGACCGGAGCAAACAAGTTCTGAATGCACTGCAAAGACTCTGCCTATCAGCTGAGAACATCTTTTTCATGTCAAGCACATGTGCGACTATGAAATCGTCATCATAAAAGGAACGACTGGAGATATTAGCTGCTCCAACACAGATATTACAACTAATCCTGCCTGATTTTCATCTGTTTTATTATTATTACTACTACTATTACGACATCTACTGCTCCATTTCAAAGTCCATGCAGAGCTATATCTGGTTCTTCTCAGGAATCATTTGCAAACTATGACTTTCCAGTTAGCCTTGTTGTGGCTGTCTGTGTGGGATGAATTCAAACTTATGTCTACTTCAAGAATACGCGCCTCATTCAATTGTCAGATACTTAAACCAGAGCAACTATCTAAATGAGTCAAATGCCAAACAGGAAGTGCAGACCTCGCACGTGTTGTAGTCCTCTGAGTTGAGCAAGTTGCAGAGCTGAGGCAGCAGCTCGGGCCATGTTTGCAGCTCTCCTTTGGAGGCAATAGTTGTGATCAGGATGCCTACAGGAGAAAACGCAGTTCAGGTCAGTTGTTCACCACTGACAAAGACCGCAACCTTTGGCCTATGCAGAAGCTCTGGATCAGACAGTATGAATACAAACACCTTCACAGACACTCAGATGGATTTTATGCATCATTTCCAGAGAGTAACATAAGGACACACAGGAATTAAACTGGTTACTCTGTGTGTAAATAGATGGTATATAAAGTTATAAAACCAACACAACCAATACACTCACCAATGGTGGCACGGATGAGCGGCGAGGGATCGCCGATGTTGTTGAGGCATTCCTGCTTGATGAAGTCAGCAACGGCTGATGGGAAGTTCTGGTAGTGGGCTTTGACATTGTTCTTCAGTATCAGACCACTCAGAGAGCGAGTCGGCTCATCTGAGAAGAAGAGAGGGCAGTTAGAGACCAAGATGCCAAGCCATCAGCGTGTATTTGGAGTCTGATCACTACATCAAAGTGCACAACGTTTTCCACTACTCAATCCTGAGGACGTGTAATCCAACTCTTCATCTTACTTTAAAATCTGTGTGCCCTTCATTGTGGAATTCAGAGCAATCACTCTTAGTCAAAGTGGACGCAACAGTTTTTCTCAGTCTATTTCATATATAAACTCTTGCAAAGGTGGATATTCATATTCAAACTAGCTCCAAGTTTCAAATCATTAGATCAGCCAATCTAAAGGTATTCCCTGTGGGCCAAAAGACAGGCTTCAGGCTGCTCCAAGCACTCAGATCTCAGAGGTTTTTCCTACTCTTGGCACTCGCTCATGCCAGGAACAATATTATTTATACACACTCTGAACACAGAAGCACCACTCACCTATTATTATTATTCAGACCTTCTGATTGTGAGGGACAGCCAATCAGAAGAAAGTCCGCTCAAAGAGAGCAGACTTACTCTAAAGGGAAAGGGATGAATGCAGAGCTGCTGCAAAGCCCGATGTAAAATCAATAAGGATTCATTTGAACTTTGAAGAGTTCAGGGCTGCTCTGGTAGAGGCATGAACAAATTCCTAAATTTTTACCAAATATAACAAATCTATATCCCTAAACTAAGACATGTATCCAAAGCAATGGTGACAGCACGGTTCACGGTTCTATATACTTGTCCTGTTACATTTATTGGTATATGTTTAAGTGCTACGTTGATTAAGCAATTGATGCGTCACTGCTGTCAGTCTGTGAGAAGAGTACAAGTGGCACAATTCATTTTTTTGCCCCCCTCACACTGTATAAACATGTATGCAAGGCCTCTGCTGGGAATGAGGCTCCAACACAATAAGTAACATTCGGTGCATCCAGCTATTACGTGCAACAGGAAGCACTAAATTCTCACCATAATGGATCAATGATCTGAGGGACATAAGACGCACGTGCCAGACTACTCACCTTCAGTTTTGAGTCGTGTAAGGACAAAGATGAGATAGTTGTTAAAGTCAGGGAACTGGTTGAGTTGTTCGAGTTTCTGAAGTGGCAGTTAAGGATCATTTCACTTTCAAATCACCCTTTCAGTCTGAGCTTTACTTGGCTCAGACTGAAAGGGCTTATTATAGATTACTCATTTATGTTAATCGCACAGATGTGATGTGACATTTCTTCCATCATGTATTTTTGGTCAAAAATATACTGTAAGTGAAGAAAAGTAGACAGTATAGATGCACTTAGTCCTTAAAGATGACTGAGGTGTCATGTCACAGTTGCTACCTCGCCTTTGCTCTCGCAGCTCCTACAAAATCCTCAAACACTTTCATTGCTATACTACATTAAAAGCAATAAAGGATCAAAATTTAATTAAATACCATTAACCAGTTTTATTATGCACACTCAGAACAGACTGAAGTAGGATACTTGTTGGACAGCTCTCTGTGTGACTGTGTTAGGTGACTGGGAGTCTTTGAGCAGCTGTAGGACCTGCTGAAGTCCCTGCTCATCTGGCTGCCACTCCATCCTGACACACACACACACACAAATTAATCCACATTTCTCTTTAAATTCAAAGGAAAATATTAAGAAACACGTAAGCAGGTGAGGTCTCTGGATCAGACAGTATGAATACAAACACCATCAGCAACAGGTCAGATGTTTTTTAATGCATCATTTCCAGTCGACATGCACGTATATAGTTGATATAGGCAAAAAGAAGGATGCCTGTACATAGAAGAACAAATCTTCACACAGGAGTAATGCAATGGACCTGAAACTACCACAGGATGCCAATCACGTTGTACATTTCATCAGATGGTCTTCTGCTGGGCTTTTATCCAATCAATCACTACTTAAAACAAGATACCTCTGCTTAATGACATGCAAAGTTATTGGAACCCACTGAGGGCTTACTGTAGTTACTTAATGCATGCATGCACGAAACAGCTGAAGGAGAAAAGATCAGTTCTAAAACAAAACTGCGCAGGTGTCGGTTGGGAGCTCTCTGGCCGCCTTCATAGTGGGTTAAAGGGTGAAACGACCCGGCGGCACCGGGACTGGTCACCCCCCGTCAAACACCTAAAACCCTAATTGCAGCATGCGGCACAAAAACGAGGACATCAGACAACAAGACCAGCTAAAATCTCTGTGACCCGGCTTAACTGCTCCAAGTTAATCCTACCCCCATCCCCACCCCCACCCCACCCGGTCCTCCGGTCTGAGTTGCGGAACCGCGTTGCGCTTCGATATTTTTTTTTTCGCTCGAATTTCAACGCAATGCCGTAACACGTGGGCCGAGCCGCGCGGTTAGCCCGTTTTGTGAGGTAGAAGGTCACACTCACTCAGCTGTGGCTGGTCAGAGTGAAGAGGGGAAAAAAAGTTCTCAGGAAATGAGTTAGCAACGAAGCAACGATCGCCATGTCCGGCTCCAGGCTCATAATCATGTGGTTTACCTTTACAACATTTAGCTTTACTGGCTAGTTTTCTCCAATTATAAAATCCATTATCGATTAGCTTGTAGATTGTTTGCGCTATGGACAGCTGACCCCACTAATACCCAACCTGCCCTTCTTGCTAGGGCCTGGTCGACAGGGCAGTTCCCGGCTGAGGCTCACAATGTGGTCGGCATGAAAACAAGAAAATTCTGCCGTTAGCTATCCAAAGAAAGGGCCGAGCTGAGCAATTCTTTTGCAGAACAATAACAGCCATGCGGTCGTTTAAACATAGCGGTTAAACATAAGGATGTCAATCAGTATTGGGTAATAAGTAGGTGAACACGCTTTGTAAGTAGGCGCTAGCCGCTAAATCGTCAGGCATCGGAGTTCGACTCACTCTGCTAATGCTAATACTGCTAGCAAGGCTAATGCTATTTAACTGAAACTTGCTTGATTTTGTAAAACGCCTTACCCGATGAGTAGGAGTGATCGAGGTATTAAGAATTCGTTGTTAAAGTGCAACCCTATTAGGAGTGTACGTACAATATTAACTTGAAAGTTGAATAATCAGTACTGGGCCGCTCTTCTCTTCTCTTCGTAGCGGTTCCTCTTGTTCAAATGAGCACGCCGATTGAAATTGACCCTTGGCGGCTTCCGTCACACATTTGACTGACTACGCGAGATTTGTCGTAGACTGAAAGGCAACTAGTTTTACTATCCATATTTGGTTAAACATAAATAAAAAAAATACATATTATACAAATACAATAACAATATATAATACTATAATTAAATACTACCGCCAACAAAAAATAAGCATTTTGTTTAAATAAACGTTGTATGCACGCAAGTTTTTTTTTAACTAAAATGGAATTAAAGACGACCTAAAAGATGGATTGTGCATTAATTAGGAGTTAAATGTAGAAATAAATGTAGTATAAATGTAGTTAACTGCACAGAAGTTCGTTTTTTCTTTCCTTTAGGCGTCAGCACAGCAGAACATCTGCCACTATCTCACTGTGTTCCAAGCTCCCTGTCACACCAACCCTCTGCATTTCCTCCGTCACTACATTCACAGATCTTTTCTGTGGTCACCTTCTTTGCCAGATCCATCTTCAACACTATCCTTCCTCTGTAAATGTCCAAAAAATCTTAGCCTTGTGCCTCTAACTTTGTCTCCAGTGCTGTCCTCTAATCTGTTCATCTTCACTTATTTTTGTTGTTGCTACCATCTCCAAACAATACATGATAGCAGGTTACTACCATCTTGTAAACCTTCTCTTTCGCTCTTGCTGCTATCCTTCTGTCATAAAGCATCCCTGACACTCCTCTCCACCCAACTCTGATCTTAAAACTGCAATCATAATCCAAAATATACTTTTAATCAATCTATCTATCTATCTATCTATCTATCTATCTATCTATCTATCTATCTATCTATCTATCTAACTATCTATCTATCTATCTATCTATCTATCTATCTATAACAACCAACTTAACCATGTGTTACAATTATGGCCTTTTGGTTTGTTATTAAGTGTAATCTCTAATCATTACACCTAAATTGTGTGTTACACCATATTCCTCCAGCATGGTGTTGCTTAAACAGTCAATATTAGTAATTTAAATCAAATGTGATGGCTGTACATGTATTTGACAGACATTTATTTATCAAAATATAAAGTATATTGTACAACAATGTAAAAAACTAAGAAAGATGTTAATATTTCCAACACACTCAAAATCATTTAAAAATCAAATTCAAAGGATTGTCATTTACCCCACAACCCAGATTGGATTGGAATAGAGTGGATGGATGCATTTACAGAGCATGTGTGTGAGTAAATAGCAACAAATTCAGACTCTATTTCCAGTGACTTCATACAGGTCATGGATATGATAAAATTAGATCCAGTGTTACCTAAAGACGCTTTATGTGAAAAAAACAAACAAACATCTGTTAAAGCACAGTTTTATAATTGTACAGATAACTTTTATTTCTATTGAGTTTCCTGAATACTTTATAATACCATAAAGTGTTTTAGCAGGTGGTGTCAGTATAATTTGTCACGCTGTGCACTTGATTAGGTTAATATGCAGATTCGAAATAAACTATGTAAACTACTGCACATCCTGCAAATGTTTCGACTCTTAAAAATACTGCTGTTGGTGTTGTCATAGTCAGGCTCAATGCTGGGCAAAGTGTGGGATGCAGAGCGAGTCGACTTACTGAAATAGAAAAAGTATCCAAAAATAAACAATAAACATGATATGATTAGATGGAACAAACTAATGCAAAAGCTGAAAACTGGACAGAGAGAGACATAAAATCAGCTTCAGCAGACAAATTTTTCCAGTGACCCAAATGCTCTGCAGGCATCTCAAGAAAAAGGCTATCCAGAGGTTTCCCATCTTAAACAATCGTATATTAAACAAAACAAACAAACAACGTGCCAGATGAGGTGTGGCGATATAGCCAATGTTAGAGTACTTCCAAAGGAGAGGCATGAAGTGTTCTCATAGCCGATGTAAATGTTCTTCCTCTGATGAGCTACAGAAATCCCCTGTTCCTCATAGGGATCATCCATTTTGTTGTACACCTCTCTTCCACCTCCCTCTGATCATCTGGGCTCTCCATCTCCGAGGACTCATCTCCCACCACTGGCCCTGTTAATCCCTCAAGTTCTTGGGCTGTGTCCCACTGACGGAATGCAGATAAAGTCCAAGGACTCATTAAACTACAGAGAGAGAGAAAAAGGATTTGAATAAATAAGGGAGCCTTTAGTTGCAAAGTGTATATAAGACTGGCAGAATTATGACATCATAGTGGAATAAAAAACAAAAACTAAACATGATATGGTCGTATACTAATGCAAAAGCTGCAATCATGACAGAGTTAGACTACAGGCCATTTTACAACCAAGCACACAAAATTCTGAATTTTTGTGATCTGAACTTGTCATCTAATGTATACAAACACCAAAAGTGATGCATTTTGGGAGAAAATCTGCCCTCAAAAGCACACAGTGAAAAAAATGAAGTTGACATCAAGCAATCAGGATGTTTCTAACTAGAAAAGTAAGAAACTGAGATCCTGGGTCCACCCAATTCTCACGAGAAGAAGCAGCAGAGAGAATTTCCTGGTTTAATCCAGGACTTGAAGCTGTATCACAGCTGCTTGATGAGAAAGAGTACAGGGCTGTGGTCGACTCCTTTGTCACGTGGTGTGAGCAGAATCATCTGCAGCTCAACGTGGCAAAGACCAAGGAACTGATCGTGGACTTCAGGAAGACCAGGAAACACTTGACCCCTGTTTCAATCCAGGGGTCAGTGTTGACATTGTGGGAGGACTATAAATACCTGGAGTACACATTGACATAAACTGGACTGGGCTAAAAACACCACAGCACTTTACAGGAAGGCCAGAGTCGTCTCTATTTTTTGAGGCGACTGAGGTCCTTCAACATCTGCCAGAAAAATGCTGAGGATTTTCTATGAGTCTGTTGTGGCCAGTGCGATCCTCTATGCTGTTGCATGCTGGGGAGCAGGCTGAGGGTCGCAGATGCCAACAGACTCAATAAACTGATCTGTAAGGCCAGTAATGTTGTGGGGATGGAGCTGGACTCCCTCAAGGTGTGTCGGAGAGGCGGATGCTGTCCAAGATAAAGACAATGTTGGATAACACCTCCCACCCTCTCCATGACATGTTGGTCAGTCCACAGGAGCTCGTTCAGTGAGAGACTGAGATTACGAAAAGCACCACTGAACGACACAGGAAATCATTCTGCCTGTGGCCATCTCCCTGTACAACGGCATCCACTTAACACACTGTTTGCTGCTACAGCTACACATGTTTCTTTTCCAGCTATTTATTTATGAGTGACTTATGTATGTAGTATGTATAGTATATATTGTACTATTCTTAGTTAGCGTATTGTCTATCTTGTCTTAATGTTGGTTATAATGGAGCACTGTAACAAAAATAATTTCCCCCAGGGATCAATAAAGTATTCTGATTCTGATTCTTTCGTACATATTCCAGGTTGTCAGCCGGCAGTTTGAGCTCTTGCTGGCAGAGTTGGGAGCACATCGATGACGCAAAGAAATAATTTCAGTGAGCTGACTGACCTGGACCAGTGCTTAGCTGTATGTCTGAGGTAAAATAGTATTACTTTACTATTTGTATACTGGCTCTTTTAAATAAAGTCAATAAATAACAACAAAGAAAGAAAAAAATGAGAATAATGTCTCTGATCAGGTGTGAGGCTTTGATAAAACTTACTTCTAAAGGAGAGGGCATGAAGTGTTGCTCGTAACCAGACGTGAACTGTTCTTCCTCTGATGAGCTGCACTCGTTTCCTCATCGGAATCAACATTTTGCTGTAGGGCTCTTTTCCATATCTGCGGTCCAACCTTCCAGTCTCCTCTCGGACAGCATCCTCCCTCTGATCATCTTGTGAAAACTTGTCTCCTGTCACTGGTCCTACTAATCCATCAGGGTTTAAATTTGGGGACTTTATTTTTACAACTTCGAGCACAGAGATCTTGGGCTGTGGCTCACAGACGGGAATGCATATCCAGCCCAAAGGATCATTAAACTACAGAGAGACAGAAAAAACAAAAAACAATTTTTGATATCATTGAGCCAAGTTTATATATCAGTGACCTGTATGCATCAACTGGTATTGGTTTTGATTTAGCTTATTTTTTGTCATTAGTAGCCTTGGGATTGTTTTGGAGCAGACCAGACACCATGAGCTCCTGTATAGTAAATTATGCTCCAAACTGGGTCATGCAACAGGGCATGATTCGAAGCAGAGCAGCAAATCTGCAACCAAATGGCTAAAAAAGGAAAGACTCAGCATGTTGCAGTGGCTAAACCTGATTGAAATGCTTTGGTGGGAACTTAAGAGATCTGCGTTTTAAAAAAAAATTCCCACAAACCTCAACCAACTGAAGCGACGTTCCCCCACAACACTGTGAGATGCTGATAGCCATACAGGAAACAATCAGTTTAAGTTGTTGCTAAATGTGGCTCTACAAGTGCTGAATGATGATGTCTACTTAGTTTTCCATGGATTGCATACAGTCCTGTGACAACTTTCTTTTCACATCACAGAATGACTGCTGTTGTTTCTGTAATACAGATCTATAAAGAGCCATTTGTTAATTACTTACAATACCAGAAAGTATCTTTTAAAGGATTTTTGAAACCATTATTAAAGTTGTTTTTTTATATAACTTAGGCTTTTACTATAACAAATACAGTAAAAAAAATTAAGACTTTAGGAGTCTATAGAAACCTCGCAGTTACGTTTCATTCAGTCTACCTGATGCTTCATCTGTTTAAAGATGTGACTGTTGCGGGATCAGGCACTTTCTCATAGGTGCACGAAGATATCAGTGGACATGCTTTGATTGGTCCTGGACAAACGCTGCCAGAGACAAGACAGTAAACAGCAAATATGTTAGACTGGGAGATCACCTCATAAAAAAGTAGAAGTAACTATGTTCATAAAGACAAAACTGGAGGGAGTTTGAATTTAATAGTTTTGTGTCCTTGGTATACTGTGATATTTTTTTTTTACTATATTTCTCATGTTATTCAACATTTATTCAGAATATAAAAGTATTTGTTAACAGTACGTAACACAATTGTGATGTGCTTCAAATATGATGTCAGAGATAAGTTTAAGATGAGCGTCTCACCTGAGTAAAATACAACACACACAAAGGAGCACAACAACAGACAGAACTGGTATCAATAACCCTAAAAAAAGAGGAGAAGCGATCATTGTGAGAGAAATAATAAATAGTTCGTATCTTATAACACTGCACAATCCATTACACCCTAAGTTAGTTACATCCAGCAAGAAAAATAAAGAAAAATCAACAACAACTTCAAACATAACGTCAAACCCATCCTACCTACCATACATATCTTGCTGGTGGTTTATTTTGAATGTTTCAGTGGCATTCGCTTCACGTCCAAATTCAGTAATAGCTCTCATCCACACCTCATAGTCGCCTGGACTGAGATCACGGAGCGTGAAGGGCTGATGATCATTGGAAGCATTTACATTGAACACTGAAAGAGAGAAATGTCTGGAGTGAGGTTACGTGTGTAATCAAAGTTATTGAGTCTTTATTTATCAAATATGTCAGAGCAGGAAGTCACTAATCAGGTGTTAATCATTAATAATGCACGTATGTCAGACAGATGAAATTAGTAGGATTATACTACTGTAAAATCATCACCTATGATGAAATGACTAAAGCACAAAGGTATTAGGCTACTATGATTACAAAATAAAGAAAAACACTGAAAGTAAACTAAGAACTCTAAACTATAATCAAAAACTGAAAATTCTAATTATTAGACCAGAGTTTATATTCCAAAAATCCTAATCAGAGTCCAATACTACAAACCACGGCACATTCCTGTCATGCGTTCATGCTGCAGGTGTCAATAAAGTTGGGCTGTGAAAGTTCTTGCAAATATGGCAGAAAGAAGTGAGGCAGTGGTAAGTTGCCATTGCTTGCTTGAAAAGGTGGGCTGGGACACAGTTCATCTGGACTCGAGCACAGTGCAAATCTAGTAGCATTCCTATCTGCACCCCACACCTGCCCCCATAAAAATCACTGGGTTCAGTAGTACAGGGTGGGCCATTTAAATGGATACATCGTAATAACATGGGAATGGTTGGTGATATTAAAGTCCTGCTTGTGGTACATTAGTATATGTGAGGGGCAAACTCCTTAAGATGGGTGGTGACCATGGTGGCCATTTAGAAGTCGGCCATCTTGGATACTACTTTTGTTTTTTCAATAGGAAGAGGGCCATGTGACACATCAAACTTATTGGTAATGTCACAAGAAAAATGGTGTGCTTGGTTTCAACGTAACTTTATTCTTTCATGAGTTATTTGCAAGTTTCTCTTTGCCATTGACATGTCAAAGAGGTTAACACATGAGGAGCAGATCGAAATTGTGTTCAAACTGGTTCAGTGTTGGATTTGCCAAAATGTGGACGCAAGAAAACTGTCACTAATGAAGAAACATCAGTGGCTGTCCTAGCTTCATTCAGCAAGAGCCCACAGCGTAGCACTCGCCGCATGTCACTGGAGAGTGGCATTAGTCGAACATCCTTCGGCGGATATTAGCTACTCACAAATGGCACCCTTACAAACTCCAGCTACTGCAGCATCTCAACGAGGATGACCCAGATCGGCGCACAGAATTTGCAGAATGGGCAAAACAAAAATTGGAACAGGACCCTCAGTTCATGCAGAAGATTTTGTTCAGTGATGAGCCAAACTTTTATGTGAATGGTGAAGTTAACTAACAAAACCACTGCTATTGGTCTGACACTAACCCACATTGGATGGATCCCTCCAAGACTGTTGGAACAACAAAAGTGATGGTTTGGTGTGGTATATGGGGTACAACGATAGTGGGTCCATTCTTCATCAATGGAAACCTCAAGGCCACTGGATATTTGAAACTGCTACATGATGATGTGCTTCCCTCTTTATGCACTGAAGCTGGCACGTTCCCTGAGTTTTTTCAGCAAGATGGTGCACCACCACATTATGGGTGCCACAAAATGCACAGAATCATGAGCTCCTTGGGTTCTGCAAAAGCTTTATCTAAGAGTAAAAAAGTATTTGTGACGCTAAAGGAAACTTCAGTGAATTAGCCCAGACAGTTAAACACAATGTGAGTGCAAGCCTGCAGGGAGAGGGATGGAGGGAAGTTTTTCTCGAGTATGGTACATGTCAATTGAACCTATCGTTCACACCCTAAGACAATGTACAGTCAGAAGCACAATCCAAGTGGCTGGGATACAGTGCAGGAACATCTGGGTCACGTAAGTATTAGTCCACACGTCTCAGTGGGACACACCTCTGAAAGTGGAACAACAGGGCTAAGGTCTTGTGGGACTTCCAACAGCTGTTGGCCAACCAACCAGACACTGTGGTGGTTGACAAGCATCAGGGGACTGCAGCTGTGATAGATGACGTGATCCCAGCTGATAGCAATGCTAGAAAAAAGAAAAGGAGCACAAGACGACTGCTATGTACTAGTGGCTGAAGGAATAGGCGTGGAAGTCCAAAGTGGACCCAGTGGTTGTTGGGACCGTTAGGGGTGTAAACTGAGAGAGTGGCCTTAGCAGATTCGGGGAATGTCCTGGGAAGAGTTAAGATACTGTGCGGAGCCCTCAAATCCCAGACCTCTGGTACAAGACCTGAGCTTAAGGCAGAAATAATACATCAGGAACACATTTAAAACACAAAGCCAAGTCCTATATTATGCTATATAGGACTAATTCTGAGATGTTTGATAAATACAACCCAGAAAAATCTTTATCCTGTTTTCTGTCTTTTTTCCCTTCATATGTAATGTGCTTTATATTTTAAGCATGCATGCTATCTTCTTTACTAACTATGAACAGTTAGCTTTGCAAAAATCAGCCAGAAATAACTGAACTGTAACATAGTTTGCTGCTATATACCTTTTTGCGTATCCAACCATTTGTATCCAATTTCATAGCACCAGATCCGGGCAGTCTGCTCGGAGAGAGGAATGGCTTTCCAGTGAAGAGTCACCTCAGTCTCAGTGAGAGTTTCCACCTTAAATGACGGCACTGCTAACAGAGCTGATTAAGAAAAAAAGAAAAAAATTATTATGATGAGAGAAAAGAGGCTACAGTGGCCTGAAACCATCAAAGGAACAAAGCAGAGAGCGCCACCTTTCTGACGAGAATATCCAATCTCTGTGAAGAGATGGAGGACTTCCTTGCTGTTCAATACCTTGAACACCGACACTTGGTATGCTTTGTACTCCTGAAACTGACCTGTAGGTGGAGACATACAACACACAACAGGGTTCAAAATGCAATCAACAGTTATCATAACAACAACAACTCTTTTAATTAATGAGGTTTGACACATTACAGACCTTTAAAAAATGTTCCGTTCTGGCTTTTTTTCACTCTTATCCAGTCAAACTCTCGGCCAGGTGGAGATCCTGCCTGTTTATATTGCACCACGTATTCTTCTAGCTCGGAGACGTCAGACGGTGGGTCCCAGGACACGCTGAGGTTCTCTTTATTCATCTCGAGGTTAACTTTTAGAACATTTTCTTCTTTACCTTAACAAGAGACCAGTGCTTAAGGTTAATGTATCCCCTATCGGAGATGGTTAGATGCCGCTAGGGGCTTCAAAGCGTCCTGTAGTTTTTATGAAAGTCTGCACAGTCTCTTACCTGTTGTTGATATATTCAGAAACGATTCCTTTGTGGCACCTTTAGAACTGTAGGCGATTATGCTGACTGATGACACATCCTTCAGAGTGGCGTTGAGGAACCATTTGTGGTACCGTTGCTGCACAATTGCTCCACAATTTCATGCACGTACTGCCTGTTTGGCTCGGCCGTGGACATCTGCAATTTAGAGCCGTTGCTGTAGAAAACTGTGAGGTTATATCCACGAATGAACCCACGTGCCTGAGAATCAGAGAGACTCTGGAGGGAATGGAGAAAAGGCGAGGAGAGTGAGGGATGAGTTGGCTCGTGGTGAGACAGAGTGAGCGAGTTAGTTCTCAGCCTACCTTCCAAGTCAGAAAACAGTCAGAGCTTAGAGGGGAAATACCGCAGTCCCTCCATAAATCCACTTCTCCAACAGGGTCTGAGTGGCATTGCAAGAAAGAGACAAAGCCAGGGAGATAAGGCAACATTTTCCTTCTAGCTGCACGAAAGACATGCCACTAAAACAGCTAAGAGAACAGTTACAGTTTAATGCAAAACTACAGTAATCAGCTACAATTCAAGTGGCTTCCCAATTCTGATGTAATATGTGAAAGAATGTTAAAGAGGTTTTTTTTAACAAAAAAACAAAAAAACCCAGAGAAACATGAACCTTTTTTGAATTGTTCTTAAATGCTAAACTTGGGAAAGTGATGCAATCCTCGTGACATTTCTTAGGTTCCACTAAAGGTGCCATAAAGATCTAAGTTATTATTATTATTATTATTTTTATCATCATTATTATTACTCCAAATGAGGACTCTCACCTGACTCTGAGCTCCTAACGCTATGGATCTTACTCCAGTCGCTCATTAATCCTGTACCACAGTCACAACGAACTTGGAATTCATAAACCGTAAAAAGGTCCGGTTCCTCCACTGCGTAGGTGCTATGTACTTCATCCTCAAACTGCACAAGAGGAAAAAAACAAGCTTGAGCATAATTTCACTGGATGACACTTTTGTCTCTCAAACTATACAATTTAACTTGCCTAATAAGCTTTTTTAAGGACTTTATTTCATGTATTCATTTGTTAATGGGGAAGAAAACCCCTAAACGCACTACACCTTTGGCCAGTCTGTTTCTCCCTTAGTCCGATATCGAATGTCACAGTGTCCAGAAGACTCTATGCAGGAAGTGTTCCACAAAAACTCCAACGGTTCCGGTTCGGCTGTAATGTCTTTAGGTGGGGGTGGCTTGGCTAGCAGTGAAAAAAAAGTTTCATCTTTAATATTACTTAAATGAAAATCAATCATTTGAAGATAAACATCAAAAAATTTTCGGTATTAGGAACTGATCATTATTACTGCCGTTTGTGGTGGCGTTTGTATTTGTGGGACTGACTCACTGATTCCTTCGACGTTAAAGACGACCGGCTGAGATTTGTTGGAGCCATTCTGGTTAACGGCCTCGACCCAAACCCGAAGTTCTCCTCCACCGGAGAAGTCCTCTCGAGGAATGCGACCGTCTAAACTGGTCCCACCTTTCACATGGCTGTCGCTGAAAGAAAAGACCAGACGAGACATGACACCAGGAGAAGTTCAAGACAAATTCAGGGGGCATTTCTTATTGTTTACAGCTGTAAAAAATGGGTTTTATTTACTGGTTATGAGCTGGCTCCCAGTGCAGGGTGTAGTTAGTGGGGATCTTAGGGTCTGACTTTGGATCCCAGGTGCACTGTATGTCCACATGGCAGCTTGTCTCGTCACATGGTCTAAAGCACTCAAGATCAGAGGGAGGAGCTGGCGGATCTGAAAAAACACAAAGGACAAACACAAGTCATTGTTACCAATCTGGGTTTTGTTTGTAGTTTTTCTTCCTGTTTTATTTTCAGACCCACTTTCATTATGTTTTATGTTTCACGTGAGTTCATATCTGCTTTTTTGTTTCACCCGCTTCCCTTTGTGTGTTTAGGATGCTTTTGTTCTTGCCCGTGAGAGATAGAAGGAGGATATCCCTCCTTTGAGCTCCAAAGAGGAGAAGTCCAAAGAGGCAAACCTCTCACTGTTCTCTTCCTCCCATTAATGCTTCCTCACTCCTACTGTTTCCTCTGTCTTTCCTCTTCCTTTTCCCCATTCCTTCCTTTTCCATATTCCTTTTCCTCATGTTTGTCTCTTGCTCAATAAAAACAGTTCTTAGTTTGTACACCCTGAATTCCTTTCTCTACGTCTTCCTCTCGTGTTCCATCAGGCCAAGATGCAAGTAAAGGTGATGAGAAAAAGGCATGCTCACTCATATACAGTCATTTTACAGTGAAATCAAGCCCACACACCTACAAATAATGATTTAGAAAGTGTCTCTGTAATAAACTAAATACATGGTTTTTCTGACAGCTGTCTAGTTTGCATTAGATTATGATTTGAAGTTCCGCTTTCCATTAAAGACAGCTGCTGCATTATTAGCCTATGCCCATCCGCTGAACCATGATTCCACACCCTCCCAAATCTGTCAACACAAAGTAGGGGGGACACGTGGGCAGACGATCTTTCAAGGCACAGGCATAGAGTCCATGGGCACTCAGGGAACACATCGCCCCAATGAAAGAAGCAGAGGGATTACTCCTATAAACCTCAGAGGCAGGTCTTTTTCCAACAGTGGGACTTTTTTTAAATTAAAAAAAACTATATCAGATATGAGTTTGTACAGTTTATACATGAAATCTTTTGTGCCAATTTAGTGAATGTCTATGTTGTGCACACACATCCCATGGAGGAGCCACGAAATAAGATGAAGAGAAGGTTTGGTGTCAGTATTTTTATTTTTTTTTAACTCACGCAGCTTTCAGCGACTTTCTCGCCACAGCACGTAGTTCCTAATGTTTTGAGTTGGCAGAGTCATCACACACCAAAGGGATCTGTGTCTTCGGCTGGACTTGAACTGTTAACCTTTTGCTTGCCAAGCAAACGTTTTAACCACTACACTAAAGACGCCAAAGCATCAGTCCCAGCAGACAGGCCCAGGTAGTCCCACTGTGGGCAGGTCTGGGTGAACCGTGGGAAGGTGTAGGAACGGTAAAGCCACACTTAGTCCACATGAACCCGTAAGGGGGTGGGTGGGGCTTATACCGACAAGGCAGGGAGAACATTACATTACATTTCAGATTACTTTAGCTGACTGCCAACTGTGGGCTGCCAAACAGGGGTCATGTTTACAAGGATTACGATCCACTTTTTAAGCCCAGGTTTAGAAGTACTGTTGCTACTTGGATAACTGACAAGGAAATTCTCTATAACCACAGGCTTTGTGAAAAGTTCTGAATGTGCAGAAAGTCTTGAACATGAGGTGAATATGAGCAGAAACACATATTTCTAATATTGAATAACATAATTAATCCCTGACATGAAGGGGTGACATATTTAAGCATTTTATACTCTGATTTTCTGCGGATCTGAACTAAACACTAAAGAGGACAGAAAATAAAATACATTTGTATCCATGTTGAGCCCTCAGTGTCAGGGATAATACTAGAACAGCGGCCCCCAACCTTTTTTGCGCCATTGACCGGTTTATGTCCGACGATACTTTCACGGACCGTTCTTTATGGTGTTTTGGATAAATACAACAAAATAAAACCAGCACCGGTACCAAAAAAAGAAGATTTATTCATAACACACAGGAAAAGACCCAGGGAAACCGAGTTAACGATAAAAACGATAAAAAACAACGCTAAAAACCGATAAAAACTCTGGAAACCATAAATTTTACACCCGAGCCTCAACTCTCGTGGCCCGGTACCAAACGACCGTGGCCCGAGGGTTGGGGACCGCTGTACTAGCTGACAAAGGTCAAAAGTCTGTTTCAATTATAAACTCAGAGGCCACTTGATTAGTTAAACTGTTACATGCTTCTTGTTAACACAAACATCAAATCACATAGAAAATCAGCATCCTCTGATCCGGGATGACCGGATGCTAATGCTCAGTTCAAACTGAGCATTAGCATGAAGGAGAAATGTTATTGCAGTGACTTTCAATGTGGCTGTTGGTGCCAGATGGGCTGGTGTGGCTGTTTGTCAAACTGCCATGCCTGTCATCTAAGATAGGAAACTGAGGTCAAAATTCACACAGGCTTACCAGAATTGGGTAATAGAGGAGTTTCTGCTTCCTCATTCAGATGGCAGGCTCAGAATTTGGCATACAAAAGCATGGATTCATCCAGGGTTGTATCAACAGTTCAGGTTGCTGGTTGTGTAATAATGTGGGGGAAATTCTCTTAGCAGTCTTTGGGCCAGCCTACCTGAGTATTGTTTCTGCCCATCCCTTTATGACTACAGTGTACCCAGAGTCAGGTGGTTGCTTCCAGCACGATAAAACACCACATCACAAACCTCAGATTGGTTTCCTGAACATGACAAATAGTTCACTACACTCAAATGACCTCCACAGTCACCAGATCTGAATCTGGATGTGCGACAGACAAATCTGCAGCCATTGTAGCAATATGGACAAAATCTGTGAGGAATGTTTCCGGCAACTTGTTGAATCTTTGCAAGAAGAATAAAGGCAGACTTTGATCCAACCCACTACTAGCAAGGTGTGCTTAACGAAGTGGCAGGTGAGGTCCACTCAGTGCCTGATTTGTGTGTTTTCCATTACTTTAACTAGATCTTTTTAACATAAAGTGATGTAGAAAAGTATCAAACATTTCTAAAAATACGAACAAAGTACAGGAAATTCGGCCAGTGATGCACAAAATCTTTCCCAGATGTGTTCCACAACTTGTCCTTTCAATACTGCTCAACCAAAAACCTACGCTGATGCAACACAGCAGCACGCTGAATATAAAAACTCCCAGCTCACAGAATGCAGGAAGACAGAGGAGAGATGAAGTACAGAAAAAATAAACTGCAATGAGTTCCCACCTCGTTGTCCATCTAATCAGCCTGCACTCATCCACTTCAAGATCCCACATTACTTAAACCACACACTGTTCCTACCCAACATGCACTCTCCCTTCTCCAAAATCCAGCCTTAGCTCCCTTCTCTAGTCACTTTCTGGCAGTTCTGTCAAACCTCTCTCTCTTGCTACACCAGTCACCTTCACTGCTGCTAAAACCCAAACACACTAACAGCACGAGTATTTATTTAATATATTTAATGTGGTTCTGCGTCTTGCTAGTGGGGGCTAATTTAGCTTTTTATAACAGCTTTACTGTTAAAAAGCTCCAGATGTGTTTTAAATCAGCTCCTTTGTCTCATTTCCTAGGAAATAAAACTAATGAAACAAAAGACAAAGAAAGGAAAGTGACAAAACGTCTGCAATAAAACTATATTTGGTAATATCCCCACGAGTCACAGTAAAGCAAACTGACCCTGTGTGACAGACTGCCAAGCTACAATGACTCACAAACTCAGACACATGTAATGAGTGAAGAAATAAGAGTGAACACGACTGAGTTACCGTCAGTTCCAACCATATTCTCCGCATTTATTATCATTTAATAAGATTGCATAAGTTAAGGCTTTTAGCAAAGGTGACTATAATTGTTATAAAATGATACAGGAAGTGAGAGATGATGAAGAAAAGGGGGAGAAAGCAATAGATCTAACACTGTTCTCAACCACAAGAAAAAAAATGTGCGCGCATCCGTCTATCTGTGCGCACACACACACGCATACCTTTGATTTTACTCATCGCAAGATTGCCACCTTTATACGTTTCTTGTAAGCCTCTACACTTTTAGCAGTAACCCATTCAATATATGCCGACTACTGCAGGAAAGCAGATTGCAGAACAGGAAATGAGCAGTTTGTGCAGTTTGGATCCAAAACAAGTGTAGTCTAGTCAATTATGACCACTTCTCTTTAAAAACAGCACAAACAATGAGGAAAGACTGATAGGTGTGATAGATGGGTCACCAAATAAATAAATAGTGAGAATAAATAGTAAAAATGTGTTGAGATTGATGTAGTGTCCTCAGCTTCAGGAAAATGTGATGCACATAAAGCTCCCAACTAACATTTTCTGTTATTGTACAGGTCAGTCCTTTACTAAGAACTAAAATACTCATTCATTTATGGATAGCATTTGCATGTGCCTAGTTGAAAAGTGGAAAATAATGTGAAAATTAAGCTTTAATATACTTGGTCTGCTCTTGGTTAGTCTGCAACCATTCCCTTGTACTGTGCAAAAGTCTTGAGCTACCCTCTTTTCTTTGTATGTTGCATCTGGGGAGCCAGACTGTTTTGTAACCTTTGAAAGTGGTCTAGTTCTCTTGGAACATGTTTCTTTCTTTGGTTGTTTGTTCCTTTTTTCACTCAGGAATGTCCACACACTATTTTAGGGCCACTTAACACTGACCAAAGAATCATTCAAGCATAAAAAGGGATCAAAGTCAAAGGACGAACCAGTGTTGTGCCTACATAAAACACAGAACTGAGCAAAAACCCATTTTTTATTGTATTTAGCCACTTTTTTACAAGCAGCCTGTCTAATAAACAAATAATTTGCTTGTATTTCTTTAGTTAAATCTAAGACAAATATCAAATATAACCTAGTTTGACAGGCATAAAATAGGATTTTTGTAAGATGATTCCAAAAGAGCTTTTAGCTGAAAACATGGCATATTTAGGCATAGTGTGCAGTGTGTCCTAAAACAAATTTGAGGAAGCTACAGCTACAAAACTACAAAAGAAGAACTGTCAAGCCTAAAAAACTCTCTACAGCAGACGGACACTACTGGAAACTCACGTTCTCAAAAACAGGAAAAAATGTGACCAGAACAAACAAAATGACCTGAGAGATGCATCTGACCCTTCAGGTGATTCATCTACTGTTCACTGAAGCATTATCAGAAATGGTCTCAGTGGAAGAATGGCTGAAAATTCTCAATAAGGGTGAAACAGGGAGAAAAAGCTGAGGGATGCCAAATTACACCAGAACTGGACTGAAAATCAGTGGGAATGATGGGGTGATGATTCTAATCTTAAAATGTATAGAGAAGGTCAGGACAGCGGTACCACAGTGAGTGTCTACAAGTTTAAGTTTAAGATTTTAAACCAAAGTATTACTAAACAAAGAAAGCAGTACAAAGAAGGAATTTCTAAAGCATTAGAGAACAGGAAAAACAAATCATTTAGGGGTTATGATAAAGCAAAACCTCTCAAAGTACAGAATTAATCAAATAATCAGTAAACATGACTGTAAAGAAAACAGCACTGCAGATAGCATGGCATTTAAGTGGGTTAGTGTAACAGGGTGTTAAAGTGTTGTGGTTATTACAGTTGATAAAGTTGTGGGGTACAAGGCGACAACACTTCCCTTTGAATGCAGGCGCAAGTACTTTTTATGAGTATTTGTGCACAAGCGCTTTTGAACAGGCCTACCTGCTGCAGCAGCAGAGACACTGGTCACCAAGATGGACAGAAGCCACCTTGTTATAGGTCTGGCCATCACATTTAGACAAGGGCATCTAGTGCCTGCGAAAAGCCCAAATTCATCAGGAACTCTCACATACAAAATAACAACAACAACAATAATAATCAATCACAAGACATAGTCAAAAACTCTGTTGGTCTTACAGAAAGAGTTCACGCATTGACCTGTAGCTGCAACATGTGGGGTAACTACATCCGTATCACAAATACAACATCTGGCATAAATAGCCCAACTGCATACAGACTGACAGTTTCAGACTTCCTCTTGGGTGCAGTGGAGCGTAAAGTCATTTGGTGATTAACAAAAATAGGCGTATTGCCAGATAGGAGGGAGCAGCTTTGTGATAAGTACCGAATTACCAGACACTCGGCATTTTATTTAGTCTCAAATTCTATTAAACCTTAATTATGATCTCTTTTTTTTCTAAGTAAATATTAAGTATTATTAGGGTGCAAATGATTTACCTCCGGGTGAGACACGCTGAGATGTGAGCCGCCCATGCTCTGCAGGAACACGCAGCTTTTGTTTTAACTGAGAAACTTGCTGTGAAGTTCAGAAATGTCTCCTCTCCGCAGTTACCGATTCGCTCCACCCAGTTGCTGGAATTGCCAGTGACGTCAACTCACCCGCGCGTGCTCGCCGGCAGCTAGTCGTGTCAGTTCTTCCCACACACTAACTCGCTGCAGGTCCCGAAACGTGTCTGTCGTAGCTACCCTGTATTTTTTATTTTTTTGTTTTTTAATTACGCAAACGCTTTTCATAAGTTCAAGAAAAGAAAAAGAGATATCACGTGACAAAAAGTAGCGTAAGATATTTAGGTTACTGAACTTTGAGGTAGTTTTGTTTTGAATTTCTGCCGCTCAAACGTGAGCACGTGTATGAAAGTGTCTAATTAAAATGACAGCTACTAACCTGAGTGTATAAAGCATTTTGGGCTTATATAAACTTTTGAACACACCATAATTCCCTCTGTTTTAGAGTCTGTTACCTGTTTTAAGAAACACGTTTGTGTCTGCTTGTTTCCTTTTTAAAAGAATATCCTGAAGGTTGTTTGCAACCTTTAAAAATCATTATAGGAAAGTTCTCTAAACGTATTCATGTGAAATCTATGTGTCCTAATGGTCATTTGAATTAAAAAAATATATACACTAGCCATTTTATTACAAATCTGTATGAAGTGGATGGTAAGTGTGTTTGTGATAGAGCAGTAGAATAGTAATATCAGTTTGCTAAAGCTAAACTGTTAGCTAATATAACATTAGACCAACTAAAAAAATATGTGGCACATAAAACACAAATCACAGTAACATGTGTTAACCTGCATCAGAGGCTCTTCGTGCATGCATTTCCAGAGGGTATGTTTACATGACATGAGATATTGTTCTTTTTTGTGACCCCTTGTGAACTTGTTGACCTAGATAAATAGCATCAGTGATCAAAGCTAAAAAAAAACAAACCCCAAAGCTAACTAAACTAAACCTAATACTGAAACTAATAAATAGTAAACTGAAACTAAACAGACATTAAAACCTCAACTGAAAGCAGCATATCAACTGTGGAAACCGACTCTGCAAATATAATTTCCCCCAAGTAAAAGTCATTTTTATGCTGCAGTGACTTAAGTATCGTACATTTTAATGTTTGCCCCCCTTCCACCAATTACAGCATGTTTTTAAGGAAGTGGAAATGCCTCAAAAGCTAAGTAGGCCACAGCAGCATATTTCATGGGAAGCAAAGCTGCTGTGTAAGCATTGGGGACTGAGGTAAAAATACACATCTACCTGTCACTTTATGTTTGTTATAACACAGATTGTAATGAATTTTCCATTCATTTATCCCTCCGTGTCATGTGACGAGTGTGTTTGTTAGTTTTTTAATGAACTTGTTCTCAAATGATTTTAGCAAAGCATTTTATTCCCTTGAGCTCTCATCAGAGAAAGTTACTGGTAATGTAAAAAGAAAACAAGCAAAGACGTCATAAAACAAACGTGTCTCTTTATATATCATACTGGCCACATAAAGATTTACTTGATACTGAAAATTAAAGACATTAAACAGACTTTACTGAACAGACACACGCAGGATATAAAATTCACAAAAAAGTGAATAAAGAAGAGTGCGTGTGCATATGTGTGTCTCTGTTTGTTTATTAAGGTGTACAACATGCCTGGCAGCCAGCGCGCTCAGATTGCATATATCGACCCTCAGCAGAGAGAGCTGATCTCGCTCTTGCTGCAGCCCCACTTGCAGCAGGCGTTGGAGAGACCCACCACCACATCGCGGCCTTTGCGGTCAGCTTTGCGAAGCGCCTCCAGTATCTCTTCGGTGATGAATGAACGGGTGGAGCGGCTGAACGCTCCCTCCTGGTTGTCTCTGGATGCGGAGCTTGGATCTGTGTTTCTCTGAAGGAGACTCTCCACCGCAAAATTGTGATTCAAGCCCTCTGAGAGTTCATCCTGAGGGGAGGTGAAGGGGTCCTCTGAAGCATCTGTGGGAGTAAAAACAATAAAGTATGAAGGAATGGGTTTCTCTTGCATCCAAGCAAAATATGTGCATTATTTGCATTTCATTATTGCTGGAGACGATACGATGGAAGGAGCGAGGGTGGGATGCCACTGGATTGTTGCCAAGTGTGCCTGGTGGGTTAGATGCTTAAATGTACATTGGTGGTTTATAGCTCAGAATAGTAAGCGCACATCATTATAGTAAATGAAAACCAAGGCACTTTGATTCAGAATATCACATTTTCAGCCTTTCAGGGCTGAGAGCAATTACATTTTAAGCTGTAGTCATTTACTGAACAGTTCATACATTTTTTTGTAAGTAATAACATAATTCAGTGGATACACTCAAATTCAATCTTAAACAACAATACAGATAGATAGATAGATAGATAGATAGATAGATAGATAGATAGATAGATAGATAGATAGATAGATAGATAGATAGATAGATAGATAGATAGATAGATAGATAGATAGATAGATAGAGAGATGTGAAATGCAAAAGTCATAAAATATAGTTAATAAGGTAAAAAAAAACAGACAAGAACAACAACTATAATAATACTACCATTAATTATAATAAAAAGCTAAAAATTAAGTAGGAGTCACTCGGTTTTTGTAATCTGATCATATGTAATCCATTGCTAGCTAACCAGCCATTCTAACCAGCCGGCCAGTCATTCTACACTTAAACTTACAGGTGATTTCCTTCCATCATTTCTCTGGATACCTCTGCATGATCACAAATGAGCAGAAAAAGACTAGTCTAAATTATTTACATAGTCATGGATGGCACATTGCACGTCTCTGCTCAGCTGAACACTCAAAGCGCTTTCTACTACAAGTGTCATTCACTCATTCATATAGAGCTTTTATCTATGCCTGAGTGCTTTCTGACATTCACACACTCCGACAGATGCATCGGGGCAACGTGAGTTTCAGCATCTTGCCCAACAATACTTGAGACTGGAGGAGTCAGGAATCAATCCACTGGTAGAAAACCTGCTCTATCACCTGAGCCACAGCCACCTCGATTCACAAATAGAAATTTTAAAAGTGGTTGCAAAAGGTAAAAAATAAAGTGAAATATCACCGGGCTTACCTAAACTCCTGAGTGACCGTCTCCATCGTGAACCCCCGCAGGTGAAGATGACTGCCCGGATGAACTCGCGGCCACAGAGCTTCACCCCATACGCTGGGTCATCCATGGGCTGAACGCCAGCCACAAGCAGACACACAGCCAGCACCACAGCTTTCCACATAGTCGCGAGGCAAGAAGTGGGAGGAGAATATTTGGTTTAACTCGCTCTTTGCATAAGCAATGACTTTTTAGATGACCCAGGCGCGCTTTATAAAGGTGTTTGAACCCCTGAAAAGGAGGAGATGCATACTGCGCATGTAGGCCTCCTCTGAGAGAAGAACAGATCTGAACAGGAGATACAGTGGGAGACCTTTATGGAGACAAAAGAAGACCAAAGGTGGCATAGTTAATGAGTTTGTTAGAGGAATCTATAATCTAATAGTTTAGGCAAATGTTTGTCCCTCTATATAATAAAATGACCAGACCAGAAAACCCATATTGTGTACAGATCACTGACAATGACAAACACAATTAGACTGTTATAACAAGATTACTTGATTGCTGTTTGGTATACTAATTATAACCATTTTTATATACATATTGTATATCAAATGTGAAAAAAAGTTTACAAACACATGTATACATCTCCTTTAGCACTTAAAAAATACATATAGTGTTATTAATCAGTGTATAGCACATATTTGTGTAGTTTTCTGCACAGACCATTGGAAACTGAATTACTTTTACATGTTCAATTTTTTTTTCAAACAAATCCAATTTAATTCATATAAAACTGTATTATTAAAAAACAATGCCAACACACTGTAAAAAAATATGGTCCCTAAAGAATTAACATGTTAGTTCTGCCGACGCATGTGGCCTTTAATTGTCTTGATGACATTTAACAATATTACAGCCATACATTCAGGTTTTTGCAATCCTAGTTCATTACATCACCTTTGACACAGTTAACCTACGTAAAAATTCTTTATGTAGAACTTACCTTTTCTGCAGGAAATTACTCATCCTGTTAGCTCTTTGCCAAAAGGTGAATTGAAGAAGAGAGACTGGACCAGTGACATTTCCAAAGTCTGATAACACAGAAGTCTTATTATGAGTCAGAGACAAATAAAACACATTCTTATCTGTATATCCGCATAGCCAAAGGTCGCTCATTTAGGAAATTACAAAAGGGGTGCTGAATTTGTAATTAATGTGATGATACAAAGCTAACAAAATGACATTTTGGGAAGGTATCCACCATGACACTTGTTAAAACACTGTCATGCTGGGGCAACCTGTGGAGGTCAAGGGAGCAATATCAAAATGCTACAGACCACAGTAAATAAACCAGTGGTGTGTGGGGAAAAAAATGTATAAATTATGTTGTATGATGAGAACATTAAATGAAATTTAGGGCAAGAAATTTGCCTTTGGCTCACTATTATGCAGTCATATGCCACATGCACATATATAATAACCTGTAATGTGTTGTGATGACAGGTAAAAATGCAAAATTCACTGTTTATTTTTTAATTCTGTTTTCAAAACTTTTAAATTTGTCTTTATATAGCCTTGTGTTTCCTTGTATTCATTTATTTGTAAAACACTTTGTAATGTCTTGTTATGGACTGATATTTACATTATTGTAAAAGGAGAGTAAAGAAAAGGAAGAAACATATTAAAATAAAACAACACATCAATAGCCCATTCTTCAGGTAGGCTACTAATGGACCCTTGGGTAAGTCACTGAATGAATGTAGCCAGATGGATCAATTTAAATGACAGTCCATATAGGCTGTGCATTGATTTTATTCCAATTTAAAAACAAACTACAAACAATTCTATTACTTTCACTGGGATTTAACTGGGAGCCTCCACCTCTGGGATTTTCCACAAATGGGCGTGGAAGGCTTTGTAGTAAAATTTTCCTGGAGCTGTCACTTTAAGACAATTTGGCAGCTCTCAGCCAATCACAACAGCAAAGGGGGAGGGAAGGGAGCGGGTGGGTAGCAACAGTTGCCCTGGTGAGGACGAAGCGCCATAGCCACGGTAGCCCTGGCGACAAGAACCCAGCAACGAGAATCAACAACAACAACAACTGAAACCGCCATAAAAATAAAAGAAGATATTTTGCCAGTGGGAAATACACACGTGGAACCAGAGGTGAAGCTCTTAACATGATCTGTAGCATTTTATGTCCTCTAACGCTTCAGCTGAATTCTGCTATTGCTTTTCCCCCTTGTTGTTTCAGTAGCCATAACAGGCAACTGCCTCCCAGTGTTAGCTGGGGGTTAGCCTGCAAGCTAGCCGTCATTCTGATAACCGGTCGGGCTTTCTAGTGTGCGATAGTTTGTGCCTGCTTGCTGCACATCTGTGTGACTCTGAATTTCGCCTGCCATGACGACGCAGCCATAGATGCATACCCAAGCAGGCCGTTGTTATGGCGATGTCAAATGCAAAAGGTACAAAATGGCGGTTGTTGTAGAGACCAGTTAGCTTCCTGATCCTGCTATCTCGCTACACAGCTAGCATCAGTGGCTGTCACGACAGGCTAGTGCTTGCCGCCGCTCGCAGCCAACGTCTGTTTGACTATAAACGGACACTCATCTTGTTAACGGTGAATTATGTACAGTCAGTGATGGGTTTGCACTTTATGTTTTTCTCCGTTAGCTGACTAGACACACATATGGTGCATAAAGCTAGCGACAGCCCCCATCCCTTCCAAAATAGAAGGGAGGCCAATTTGGGATTGTAAAATTAATAGAGGGACGTGTTTTGTGTTAGTTTTGAGCAGTTAAATAAATTGAAGGCTGACTAAAATGCCGTTCTGTCTTTTAACGGAAAGTTTAGAAAGCTGTGGCAGGGGGCGGACATTTAATACGTAAGGGGCGTGGCGAAGGAGGGCGTTCTGCAGGTGCTTTCTAGGTTACAGTTCACTTTCACCTCTTTGTTCACTGACGCAGACTCCTAAGTGTACACCTTTACAGGTTCAGATTCATAACAAGCTCCATACTATCTAACTGAAAAGAAGAAAACACACATTTTCAGTTACAAATGTTTCTTTCTTTCTGCTGTGTTTATTTGACTTGAATTATTGACAGCCAGAAGTTAACTATCTGTGTTATGGTATTAAAAATGTGGATTACGGTGACAGTGTACATGACATAAAGCAAAATAATAGACAGCACTGTAGCGTTAATACAGTTTGGTAAGGGATTTTCCCTAGCTGTTCTACGGGCATGCCTATGTACATCAAAGGCGGTGCGATCACATTACAGGTAATGAGACACCAAAATGCTTGTTCCCATCAATGCTCCTCCCCCGCATACCCTCATGAGTTGCACCACTGAGAGGCCCTGGCCACAATATTACTTTCAGACACCCCCCTCGAGCATTCATTTACATCTAGGCGAGAAATGAGCATGTAAAAATATCTGTGTGGTGTATGAGCTGCTTATTACAGGCTAATATTGTTAGAAAAGACGTGATCTAATGCTGATTCCTATGATAGAGTTTAACCTCCTACCTTCTGTTTAAATGTTACCTATGCAATTGACAAGTTAGACTCCTTATTCATGATTGTTTATATTTTGGTTGTACTAAATTTGCCTCATTGCCTCTTTTTTTTTTAACACAGCATTGTCTACTACAGGGTGGGCCATTTATATGGATACACCATAATAAAATGGGAATGGTTGGTGATATTAAAGTCCTGTTTGTGGCACATTACTATATGTGAGGGGGCAAACTCCTCAAGATGGGTGGTGACCATGGTGGCCATTTAGAAGTCGGCCATCTTGGATACAACTTTTGTTTTTTCAATAGGAAGAGGGCCATGTGACACATCAAACTTATTGGTAATGTCACAAGAAAAACAATGGTGTGCTTGGTTTCAACATAACTTTATTCTTTCATGAGTTATTTACAAGTTTCTGACCACTTATAAAATGTGTTCAATGTGCTGCCCATTGTGTTGGATTGTCAATGCAACCCTCTTCTCCACTCTTCACACACTGATTGCAACACGGCAGGAGAAATGCCAGCACAGGCATCCAGTATCCGAAGCTTCAGGTGCTGCACATCTCGTATCTTCACACCATAGACAATTGCCTTCAGATGACCCCAAAGATAAAAGTCTGAAGGGGTCAGATCGGGAGACCTTGGGGGCCATTCAACTGGCCCACGACGACCAATCCACTTTCCAGGAAACTGTTCATCTAGGAATGCTTGGACCTGGCACCCATAATGTGGTTGTGCACCATCTTGCTGGAAAAACTCAGGGAACGTGCCAGCTTCAGTGCATAAAGAGGGAAGCACATCATCATGTAGCAATTTCAAATATCCAGTGGCTTTGAGGTTTCCATTGATGAAGAATGGACCCACTATCGTTGTACCCCATATACCACACCAAACCATCACTTTTGTTGTTCCAACAGTTTTGGAGGGATCCATCCAATGTGGGTTAGTGTCAGACCAATAGCGGTGGTTTTGTTAGTTAACTTCACCATTCACATAAAAGTTTACCTCATCACTGAACAAAATCTTCTGCGTGAACTGAGGGTCCTGTTCCAATTTTTGTTTTGCCCATTCTGCAAATTCTGTGTGCTGATCTGGGTCATCCTTGTTGAGCTGCTGCAGTAGCTGGAGTTTGTAAGGGTGCCATTTGTGAGTAGCTAATATCCGCCGAAGGGATGTTCGACTAATGCCACTCTCCAGTGACATGCGGCGAGTGCTACGCTGTGAGCTCTTGCTGAATGAAGCTAGGACAGCCACTGCTGTTTCTTCATTAGTGACAGTTTTCTTGCGTCCACATTTTGGCAAATCCAACACTGAACCAGTTTCACGAAACTTAGCAAGCAGTTTGCTAACTGCAGCATGGGAGATGGGTGGTCTCGTAGGGTGTCTTGCATTGAAATCTGCTGCAATGACCCGGTTACCGCGTTCACCAGATATCAACACAATTTCGATCCGCTCCTCACGTGTTAACCTCTTCGACATGTCAATGGCTGTGAACAAAGAGAAACTTGTAAATAACTCATGAAAGAATAATGTTACGTTGAAACCAAGCCCACCATTGTTTTTCTTGTGACATTACCAATAAGTTTGATGTGTCACATGGCCCTCTTCCTATTGAAAAAACAAAAGTAGTATCCAAGATGGCCGACTTCTAAATGGCCACCATGGTCACCACCCATCTTGAGGAGTTTGCCCCCTCACATATACTAATGTACCACAAGCAGGACTTTAATATCACCAACCATTCCCATGTTATTACGATGTATCCATTTAAATGGCCCACCCTGTAGTTTGAAAACAAACAGCTTAGGTTGAAAATGTGTAACTTGTTGTCTTGTTTTCTTTTTTCCCCAGCCTGATTCCCTGCTCTTGTAATGGCCACTACAGGCTATGTAGGTGAGATCCAGCCAGCGGCCCAAACTCAGGGGACTGCTGTCACTGTGACAACGGGTCAACCTGATGCCAGCTCCACCCCTGTAACTGCCCCACAATTTTTGGCTGAGATTCAGACTACTGTGGCTGCTCCCTCTGTGGTCACACCCACAGGCCAAACTACTCCCACAGAGCAAGCCGCTTCCATCACCACCCAAAAGCCCGCTGCTAGTCAGACCCAGTCCACAGTGCAAGCCCAGCCAGCTCAGACGCAGTATGTGACTGCAGAGATCCAGGGCTCCCCACGCAGTCAGGAAATGCTCAGAGCACTCCACAGTACATCGTTGTTACTGTCACAGGTAAAGGCTTTCTGCACTAACAGTGCATGTGATCCCAATTAAATATTTATTTTATTTATTTATTTTTTAGAAAGAGGGGCAATACATATTAATGAACATTTTAACAAATGTAAATATGCCAGATTATAGCCTTAGGCTAATTTCCATCTGCAGACCCTCCGGCAGGTTGGTGTTAAACACAAGTTAGTAAAAACATACAGAGACACTATTTACAGGTCATGTGACAAGGACAAAAACAGTGATCACATTATACTACAGGGAGTGCAGAATTATTAGGCAAGTTGTATTTTTGAGGAATAATTTTATTATTGAACAACAACCATGTTCTCAATGAACCCAAAAAACTCGTTAATATCAAAGCTGAATGTTTTTGAAAGTAGTTTTTAGTTTGTTTTTAGTTTTAGCTATTTTAGGGGGATATCTGTGTGTGCAGGTGACTATTACTGTGCATAATTATTAGGCAACTTAACAAAAAACAAATATATACCCCTTTCAATTATTTATTTTTACCAGTGAAACCAATATAACATCTCCACATTCACAAATATACATTTCTGACATTCAAAAACAAAACAAAAACAAATCAGCGACCAATATAGCCACCTTTCTTTGCAAGGACACTCAAAAGCCTGCCATCCATGGATTCTGTCAGTGTTTTGATCTGTTCACCATCAACATTGCGTGCAGCAGCAACCACAGCCTCCCAGACACCGTTCAGAGAGCTGTACTGTTTTCCCTCCTTGTAAATCTCACATTTGATGATGGACCACAGGTTCTCAATGGGGTTCAGATCAGGTGAACAAGGAGGCCATGTCATTAGTTTTTCTTCTTTTATACCCTTTCTTGCCAGCCACGCTGTGGAGTACTTGGACGCGTGTGATGGAGCATTGTCCTGCATGAAAATCATGTTTTTCTTGAAGGATGCAGACTTCTTCCTGTACCACTGCTTGAAGAAGGTGTCTTCCAGAAACTGGCAGTAGGACTGGGAGTTGAGCTTGACTCCATCCTCAACCCGAAAAGGCCCCACAAGCTCATCTTTGATGATACCAGCCCAAACCAGTACTCCACCTCCATCTTGCTGGCGTCTGAGTCGGACTGGAGCTCTCTGCCCTTTACCAATCCAGCCACGGGCCCATCCATCTGGCCCATCAAGACTCACTCTCATTTCATCAGTCCATACAACCTTAGAAAAACCAGTCTTGAGATATTTCTTGGCCCAGTCTTGACATTTCAGCTTGTGTGTCTTGTTCAGTGGTGGTCGTCTTTCAGCCTTTCTTACCTTGGCCATGTCTCTGAGTATTGCACACCTTGTGCTTTTGGGCACTCCAGTGATGTTGCAGCTCTGAAATATGGCCAAACTGGTGGCAAGTGGCATCTTGGAAGCTGCACGCTTGACTTTTCTCAGTTCATGGGCAGTTATTTTGCACCTTGGTTTTTCCACACACTTCTTGCGACCCCTTTGACTATTTTGAATGAAACGCTTGATTGGTCGATGATCACGCTTCAGAAGCTTTGCAATTTTGAGACTGCTGCATCCCTCTGCAAGATATCTCACTGTTTTTTACTTTCCTGAGCCTGTCAAGTCCTTCTTTTAACCCATTTTGCCAAAGGAAAGGACGTTGCCTAATAATTATGCACACCTGATATAGGGTGTTGATGTCATTAGACCACACCCCTTCTCATTACAGAGATGCACATCACCTAATATGCTTAATTGGTAGTAGGCTTTCGAGCCTATACAGCTTGGAGTAAGACAACATGCATGAAGAGGATGATGTGGACAAAATACTCATTTGCCTAATAATTCTGCACTCCCTGTAGCACAAACAGTGACAAGGAGAGTGGACACAGAGGACAGTATAGATAACAACAACAACAATAACAATAACGGAAACACATCAATTATATTGCACAAAACCCAGTATTGTACATGCCCTGACCATCGTGATATTGCGTTCACCCATTGCACTAACAGTTGTTTCCCTTTTTGTAATACACTAACTCTTTTTCCCGTCCAATATAAAACATGATTATTAAACATGATTACATGTTTGTGTGTCCCTCAGCCGCCCTTTTAAGTGACTCTTAAAGATGGGGAGACTTGTACTTTCCCTCACTGACAGTGGAAGACTATTCCAGAATCTCACTCCCTGATATGACAAAGCATTCTGTGAAAAGGTGGTCCGCCTGAATGCCAGTTCACAATCACCTCTAACAGTGGCTCGAGTCAGTTGAGACCCGGCAACACTGGTAGACTTTTGTTTAATAAAATCACTCATTGGTGGAGGCGCCAGACCATGTATAACTTTGTATATTAGACAGGCAGATTTAAATAATTTGAAATTAGTAAAATTTAAAAACTTGTATTTTTCTAAAATTTGACAATGGTGATATGAAAAAGGTTTTTTATCTAATATTTTCAATGCTCTTTTGTAGCATACTTCAATTGTCCCAATAGCAGCAGAGCTCGTATAGGACCAACTTGTAATACAATATTCAATATGAGCCAGTATCATTGAGTGCAGGAATGTAATCGCTGCTGTGTCTGTTAATGATGTGCAGATATGTCTAAAGTTCTGTATATTAACATTTACAGTTTTCACTACTTTTTCAATGTGTTTTTTAAAGGATAATTTAGTCTAGTAGCACTCCCAAATACTTAAATTCCTCAACATTAATTAATTCTTGTGCACCCAAGCAAACTTTTACTGCAGCCACGGTTGTTTTAGGTTTACTAAAAAACATTGATACGGCCTTTTTAAAATTAAGGCACAAGCATGAGTCATTCAGCCATTTTTGTAAATCATGTAATGCCAGTGAAAGCTGATGGGCGGCATCATCAGCAGTTTTGGCTTGCGTAAAAATTACCGTATCATCCGCATACGTATCGGATGTGTCCACATTTTTGCACACATTAGGCAAGTCATTTACATAAAGTGAAAATAACAGGGGGCCTAGAATTGAACCCTGGGGGACACCTTGCGTACAGTAAAGTTAGGGTGACTTGCTATTCTTTATTTGCACGCATTGTTTTCTATCTAATAGATAAGACTGTATCCATTTAACAGTGTGATTACTAAAGTTAAATGTTGACAGTCTAGACAAGAGCTATTATATCATAACACAAGTGTCCTAGAAGTTCCTTGCTTCAGACTGTGTAAATATGTCTCTATCTGCCACCCCACAGTCATATAACACATCACAAATAAAGATCTGTTGGCGCAAGGCCTGAAGTTAACCAGTCAGAGGTGTTTCACAATGGATGATGAGAATTTATCTTAAGGGGTTTTTCAGACTCATCATTTTATTTGACAAAGCAGATTTGATTTATAGGGACAAAATCAAAAAGGGTGAGGCGTGGAGTTTAATGCACAGGTTCTAGAAGTGGAAGGTAAGTAAACTAGTAATTAGCTGCAGCAGAAATACCTGATTTTGCCCAACTTATTGAATTCGACTTGTACAGTCAAGTATTTGTAAAGACAAAAACGCTCGGCTCACATACCGGATAATCCCAGTTTGGTATAAGGGTGTGTGGCGAATGAAGTAAAACTGTGTTACAGTCACAGGCTTATCCTCTGTGGTCAATTTTAATTGTGTCTTTAAAAGATTTTTTTTTTTTTTATTACTATCATTAGTTTTCATAAAGGTTTTTCAAGCAAAAAGTTGACAAATAATTAAGTGCAAATGTTTTTTTAGGTGGGAGATTTTTGATTTGTGCATACTTTTATGTGTTTAAAGACATGATTTTATCTGCTTTATTACACCATTAGTGTTACCACTTTATTATTAATCAGCTGTAGCAAGAGATGAGAGGCAGTGTATGATCAGCTTAATGAAGTAGAAATAATATCACTAATTTGTGCAGGTACTAAGATACCCTCTTTATCTTTCAGAGGGTTCCCTTCACTCAAATGACAGTGTGTCAGACTCCAGTCCACCTCCAGCTGTGGTGCAGACTGGAGTCCCCACACAAGTTGTTCAGCAGGTGCAGACAGCTCAGCAGGTAAAATTTGCACACATACATGGTTATGTCCGTCTATGTTATATTATGTTGTTTTCTTGCTCTTGAATCTTCTCTTCATCTCAATAGAGGTCAGTGGTGCAGGCCACCTCCCAGATTGCCAAAACTGAGCCAGGCACACAGCTCAGCGTCACCAGTCTACAGCCTGTCCACATCACCCAGGAGGTAAGCCAAACTCCCAGTGGAGTTTGTCAGTGGTGATGGCATATACGTGATGTCTGAAATAACTTATGCTTTCACTAACCAGTGTGTAAATGCGAGCTAGTCATCACAGCTTCACTTCACTAAATGTGTGATCAATGTGACTTGTGATGCGTACAAAACTTTGCAACTTCCTTGTGTTTTGGCTCAGTATTAGTCAGCTCATCGTTTCTGTGGTCAAATCTGCAACTTTTCAGCTTCCCCTTAGCACGGAGGTGACCGGTTTAGTCAGGGATAGGAAACTAGAAGATTGGCAGCTGCGTCATGAGGCAGAGGAGTCAGTCTGCCTTGCCTGGATGTCAGCAGACTGCGTAAACGGCTACTGCTGCAAACCCGTCTACCTCCCCTTGGATGAGTATTGGCAGTCACTGTGCATGCTCTCTGTGCATGCTGAGAGAGAGATAGGCTACCCTGCCATCCTCAGCTCAGGTCCCAATCAGCCACCTCTGCACACAGCAACCGCCGCTTTCCAAGTAGGTCAGGGACACGAGGGAATCTGCTGCTACAAAGATGAGTGGACAGAGAAGCTGTCAGTATAAGAAATGTTTGTAGTGCAAAAACAAGGCCGGACATGAAAGATATTAAGATTCTAAAGGATGAAAGAGTTGATGTGGTTCAACAAGATGGCTGAGGATTTATTGGATTTTGGTGTGTGTGTGTGTGTGTGTGTGTGTGTGTGTGTGTGTGTGTGTGTGTGTGTGTGTGTGTGTGTGTGCGCGCTCACTCCTTAGGTCCAGCAGCAGCTCACATCAGTGCCAGTGCAACATGTGTACACCAATCAAGTGCAGTATGTTGAAGGAGAAGACAACAACTACACCACCAGCACCATGTTAGAATGAACCTCATTTTCTAACACTTGTCCACACAGAATTATTGTTTTCTTTGTCTTACTTCTTTCTTCGGCTGCTTGGTTTTGTAACCCATCTTTGCATGTCTCTCATCCAGTCGCTCCGGCACCTTCCCTTACACCGACACCCCTTTGTACACCCAGACCACCGCCGCTCCATATTACGAAGGTCAGCCGACTTCCGGCACCCAGGCCTCCACGCCCGGCACACCTCTGACTGTGTCCGTGACAGCCGGCACCACAGCGGGCGTCTCGATGTTCGTGGCCCAGCCTACCACCGCGGCGGGGGAGGGGCCACAGTGGTGACGGCAGGCGGCACGACCAACGGGGCCGGAGAAGGGGCAGGGACCAACGGCGGCGCGGCAGGCAGTTATGTGATCCAGGGGGGTTACATGCTGGGCAGCGGCGGCAGCAGCAGCAGCAGCGGGTCGGCAGCTGGCAACAGTCAGAACTACTCACACACTGCCCGCGCCTCTCCGGCCACTGTGAGTATTACAGAGGGCGAGGAGAGTAGCGTGCCGTCGGCAGACAAGAAGGTATGCAGAGGCGCCAAGCGCAGGAATTTCTTCTCGTTCTGTTCTCATCCACACAACCCCCCCTTTTGGTGGCGCACACTGATGACGTCATAGTTTGAGTTTTGTCAAAGTGGAAAACACAAGTGAACAATTTGGAGATTAGGAGCAAAAAATGTTAGCTGAAATTTTATTTATTTATTTATTTTGCTTTAACTGTGATTTCCTCAAAGAAAACAAAACCATGACCTCATCATTTTCATACCATTGCAGTGCATGTAATGAGGGGCATTTTTAATTTGCCTGAAATGCCTTGACACTATACTGTTCATCCCAAATTCATCATATTGAACCCCCATACAATGGCCATAACCAAAACATGTCTGGCCGGCATCCCATCAGTACTCCAGGTCATTGATTCATTGCATACCAAAGTTGTATGCCACGGCACGCAAACAGATGTATTTGTGTTTTCATTCCTGAATGACAGACGGACTGTAAATACGAATGGATTTGCGTTTGTATAATACAAATACCAGAGAAATCTGTGTGTGTGTGTGCATGTGTGCGTCTGTGTGCATGTCATGTACATGTATCTGTTCAAAGGTGTGATATGTGTGGTAATAGTTATGCATTTATCTGTTGCTCTATGTTTTTCTGTATATCTGTATATGCTGGCTTTGCTAACTGCACCAGCTATTTTCTTTGTTCCATTGCCTGTGTGTCAGGTACAGTGGTTGCTGGACAACTATGAGACAGCTGAAGGAGTGAGTCTGCCCCGTTCCACCCTTTACTGCCATTACTTGCTGCACTGCCAGGAGCAGAAGCTAGAACCTGTTAATGCTGCATCATTCGGGAAACTCATAAGATCTGTGTTCATGGGGCTACGCACACGGCGTCTGGGCACTCGGTAAGCTGTGTAGTCACCCAAACTCATAGGGTAAAAAATATATATGCAACCCATTTATATCCATTAGTAAAGAGAGAGGTGAAGAAGACAGGACAGACAGGGTCGAGTGGGTGGAGACAAATGCTAAGGGTTGTGAAGGAAAATGTTTACAAGTTGGTAGAGGGAACTTCTATGATTTATGGCTTTGAGATGGTGATGCTGACAAAAAGACAGGAGGCAGAGTTGCTAGGATTTTCATTGATAGTGACCAAGAGGGACAACTTAAGTTGAGTGGTTTTGAAAGTTAGAAAGTCAAGGCTAAGATGGTCTGAACATCTGCAGAGGACGGATAGTGAATATATTGAACAAAAGATGTTGAAGATGGAGCTGCCAGGCAGGAGGAGAAGAGGAAGACCACAGAGGAGAGATCAGACAAACACATCACACATTCTACTGTGGCCTTTTCTGCTGCAGTGATGCATGTCAGGAGCACAAACCCAGTAGTCCTCCGTTCATTTCACCAGACACCAGTAGTCTCCATGTAACTGACGTGCGTAATGCTATGCATGCACACACCAATCAGGCATAAGATTTGACTACTGACAGGTAAAGTGAAATCACTGATTGTCTCTTCACCGTGGCACCTGTTAGTGGGTGGGATACATCAGGAAGCAAGTGAACATTTTGTCTTCAAAGTCGATGTGCTAAAAGCAAGAAGCAAAAGCATTTCTCTGAGTTTGAAAGGGCCAAACTGTAATGGCTAGAAAACTGGGTTGGAGCTGGGTTGTTATCAGTCTCCAATGGTAAGCATCTATCAAAAGTGGTCCAAGGAAGGAACAATAGTGAACCACTGTTATGATGACAGTATCATGGGCGGCCAAGGCTGATTGTGGTTTGATGCAGCCACGGTACCGTTCCTGTAGCTTAATCCTGGTTCTGATGGAAAGGTGTCAGAATGCACTGTGCATCACAGCTCGTTGTGTGTGGGCTGCATAGCCACAGTACACCCTCTCATGGAAACAGTACTCCCTGATGGCTGTGGACTCTTTCAGCAGAATAACGTGCTCTGGTTGGTTTGAGGTTTGAGGAGCACAGCAACAATTTTGAGGTGTTGACTTGGCCTCCCAATTCCCAAGAATTTGGATTGTGCTAGTTAAACAAGTGCGATCCATGGAGGCCGCACCTCGCAACTTACAGGACTTAAAGGATCTGTTGCTAACCTCTTGGTGCCAAATACCACAGCACACCTTCAGGGCTCTAGTGGAGCCCAAGCCTCGACATATCAGGGCTGTTTCAGCAGAAAAGGGGGACCAACACAATATTAGGCAGGTGGTCATATGTTATGCTTGATTGGTGTACCTTAAATTAGTTTCCAGCAGAAATGCAGTTTTTTTTGTGTTGTTTTGTTTTAATTTTTCTAGGAACATCTATAAAGCTCTCTGGAGCATTGGGAAATGTTTGCCTTGTGTAGGAAGACATGTGGGTAGTGATGAAGACAGACAGCATGTGTGTGGGAGAGTGAGTGAGCTAGTGAAATGACTTTTTAAAAGTATTTAGTGCTATGGGTGCAAATACTTTGTGTTTTATGAAATTCTAATTCAGTGTATAGTAAGACTATACATGTGGCTTGTATGGAGTTAACATACATTTAAACAGACAGCATAAACACTATGCTCTCTATAGAGTTAGGCTCTTTTAAAAATAAAAGTCAAACCACATTTGTCTTCCTGTTAGGGGTAATTCTAAATACCACTATTATGGGCTGAGAATCAAAGCGGGCTCTTCTCTTCTCCGGCTGATGGAAGACCAACAACACCTGGCTATGAGGCAACAGCCGTTCTCACAGAAACAGAGGTATCCACAGAAATGTCTACACATTCAAGCGCATCTTCTCTATCATTACACAGTTGACCTTTTTTCTACCTCATACGGTTTTTGCCACCGGCTCCTGTTTTTTCTCCATCTCTCACACCATGTCTTCCATTCTTCTCGCGGCTCTGGGCATCTGCTGCTCTTATTATAAGACTGAATTACAATTTCATTTCACTTCATTATTTATCACCTTTGTCTAGACATGAATGCCTGATGTGCCTTTTCGCTCCCTACCTATCAGGTTGAAGCCTGTTCATAAGGTGGAAGGAATGACCAATGGAACGGCAGCAGGAGCAGGTCAGCAGCAGCAACAGCAGCAGGGATCGGGCCACGTGGATATCAGCACCCAGGTTCAGCAGTACCAACAGTTCCTTGGTGAGCTTAGTAAACAATGAACACACTTGTTAGTGAGTGCTGCTTTTTTTTTTTAATGTTAATTTGGTTGAGTCACAAGAGTGAGCAAGCAAAATATTCTTGTAAGCTCTCAGGGCTTGTTGTGAGGACCTTGCATTACAGTATGTGGTTGTTTAGAGTGCATGGGCTGTGCCTGACACAGCACCAGTCTTTGAACTTGCTTTTCCCTGTGAAGTAAATTGTTAATTTGGCCTGACAAAGTGTGTCTCCTCATCTTTAGGTTTTAGGCTTTTTGGGAAGCCTTCCTTTTTATTAGCAGCAAGGACCTCCATGCCCTGTTAACGGACTGTCAAATCCAGTAACAGAATCTGCTGTAACAGTTTATTACAAGTATATAAGGCATGGTTTCCTATTTATGTAAGCATATAGCACACAGGGCTATACTTATGCTGCTGTGTTTACTTGAATTGCGTAGTTCCTTTGTTTGATAGCATGATGGGATTTTTACACCTGATATATGTTTAACATTTCTATATGCTGCTGTGCTGGCGGTGCAGTGGTTAACACTCAGAGCCTCACAGCAAGGAGGTTCAATTTCATCACCAGGACAGGATCTTCCTGTGTGGAGTTTGCAGGTTGTCCCCGTGTTTGTCTAAATTGCCCATAGGTGTGAACGTGAGTGCAAATGGTTGTCTATGTCTATGTGTTAGCCCTGCAACACACGAGCGACCTGTCCAGGGTGTACTCCACCTCTTGCCCTAAGACAGCTGGAATACAGTCCAAACACATGCAGTTAGAGGGGCTGGGTTAACTGGTGATTCTAAATTAGCCATAGGTGTGAATGTGAGTTTAAATGGTTGTGTCTTTGTGTATTTGCCCTGTGACAGACTGGCAATATGTCCAGGTTTGTTCGAGACCTACCTACTTATCCAATTCAGGGTCTTGAATTGGATAAGCAGATGGAAATGGATGGACAGATTATATGTTTTTAATCTGAACATAATGTAAAAAGACAATCTCATTACCAACATTTAAATGCCACATCCCTCCTACTATGAGCTAAACCACAACAGGCATGTCCATCTAAGCACATTTAGTGGCATTCACATAAATGTTGATTACTCTGTGCAGTTAATGGGATTTCTCTCTGAGTATCCACTGCTCCTTTGTCCTGTGTCCAGATGCATCCAGAGCTCTCCCAGAGTTCCCAGAGATCGATCTCCAGGGGAAGTCTCTGCCAGAGGGCATTGAGCTGGAGCACATAAAGAGCTTTCAGCTGCTGTACAGAGAACATTGTGAGGTAACCGAAATTGGAACCCACTGACTATTTACTGAAGTTTTTCCTTTGTGTGTAGTTCCTTTCTGTGAATCACTGCAGGACTACTCTAAATGAAATTACACCAATTATAACCTTTTAGTGGGAAAAACCGACTGTAATTTGATCAAAATGTCAAGTTCTTAAAGATGTAGTGGTGAAGATGAGTTTTAAGGTTAGGAAGACCACATTGAAAGCAAAATCCAGAAATGCAGAATGTTGTTTTCCTCTCCTTTGTTCCTCCAGTTGCCCCACTACCCCCACCCCAATAATCTATTTGTCCTCAGTCTTCGATTCTTCGATGTATGGATTCTTTCTTTCTGTTCTTTCAGGCTATTCTCGATGTGATGGTTAACCTGCAGTTTACCCTAGTGGAGACTCTGTGGAAGACCTTCTGGAGGTTCAGCCAAAGTCAGGCCGGAGATGCCACGTTGGCCGTGTGAGTGATTGTACTCCACAGGCAGGCGTTCATTCAAGATCCAGATTGTGTCCTAAGATAGTAAAAACATTTGTCTGTTGCCGTAGCATTACTATTTCCATACAAACTGTGTGTGCGTGTGTGTGCGCCTCGGCAGTCACGATGAGTCAGAGAAGCGTCTCCCTAAGTCCTGCCTGGTGTTGCTGTGCAAATATGAGCCAGTGCTGCGCTGGAGCCGCGACTGTGACAACAGCCTCTACCAGGGCCTGGTGGAAATCCTCATCCCTGATGTCCTCAGACCCATCCCCAGTAAGGCTCTATAGGAAGACTGATTATGTAGTGAACCATGTAAGCATGCTTATCCGTGCCTACAGAGTGTGTTTATACAAATAAAGAGCTATTCCTAAAACTCAGTGCCAATTTAAAGTTGTTGAAATGAGCCAACTAGGGAGCAAAGATCCTCCTGACAGCCTTTTGGATGTGTAGTGAAAGAATACACTGTTTTCCATCACGTGTACCCATTGCGCTGCCCTTACTGGCAGCTACACTTATTTCTTCTGGTTTCGGTTATAGTTTTAGTCAGAGTTTAACTTTTAAGACCTTGAACAGTTCCCTTTTGAATATTCGTCATTTTCTTTCCCATCACAATGCTGCCAGAGAAAAAAATGTTCCACATCCACATAAGGTGGATACAAGTCTGGTTATTCAGCTGTAATGCCAAAAAGAAAATAAATAAAAATTGAAAAATCTTTGACCAGCAGAACCTTGGCTAATTGTCTAGACATTAGATAATCGTTTTCCCACTCTAGCAGTGACAGACCCATTTCTGCCCACAGGTGCCTTAACTCAAGCCATTCGCAACTTTGCCAAGAGCCTGGAGAGCTGGCTGACCAATGCCATGATGAACATCCCTGAGGAAATGGTCCGCATCAAGGTAAAGCCCTCCATTATTAGCTTGGCACTGATGGAACCGCTTGTTTTCTGAGCCATGGAGCAAACAGTCTTTTCAGGCATGACAAAAACATCGTCTTATTGTGTGGGACTCTAAGCTCAGACATTATTAGATTTTTGTGAGCAGGAGCTAGAGTTGAATTTATATAAAAGCTCTGCGGTGCAGCTTTTGTGAAGAAGGGAAAAAAGAGGTTCCATCAAAGTAAATAAATGACAGCAGATGTGAGCAGCTATCACAGAAAACATCTGTTATATACGGATATTTGTGAAAATATTGATATGCATCTTTTTCTGACCCGTCGTCTTCCTCCTCTCTCAGGTCACATCAGCCAATGCTTTTGCTCAGACCCTGCGCCGCTACACCAGTCTGAACCACCTGGCCCAGGCAGCCCGTGCTGTCCTCCAGAACACGGCTCAGATCAATCAGATGCTGTCCGACCTCAACCGCGTCGACTTTGCCAACGTCCAGGTCGGTTCAGTGTCTAGCAGCATTCTCATTAAATCGCGCTGATGACATTGTCAGTGGTTGAATGCCGCTTTGGTTTTGCAGCTGACTCTGTAGCTTGTGGTTACACTGAGGTTTCATGTGTTATTTGTTTATCCAACTTCCGTCATAGTGTCTCTTTTTTATTTTACTGTTCAGGAAGCTCACTTGGTTTTTCTAAGAAACTGCTTCTTCCGCCTGATTATATGTTCAGATACTGAACAGTAAACTTAGTGCTAGTGCGTGGTTTAAGTTCCATCATCTGCTGCTGTTTATAAATATAAGGTCATCCAGCCTCTTTTACTGGTGCAGATGTGACTGCCCTATAATGACACTTTGCCTTTTTCTCCCTGTTTGTGCTTTTGTAGGAGCAGGCTTCATGGGTGTGCCGGTGCGAAGACCGTGTGGTCCAGCGGCTCGAGCAGGACTTCAAGCTGACCCTCCAGCAGCAGAACTCACTGGAGCAGTGGGCCGCGTGGCTTGACGGTGTGGTCTCCCAGGTCCTAAAGCCCTACCAACAGAGCCCTGCTTTCCCTAAAGCTGCCAAGCTCTTTCTGCTCAAGTGGTCCTTTTACAGGTGGGGAGCAGTCAGAAAGAATGAATTCCAAGTTCTGCCTCTCCTGACCTTTTCTGAGTCCATTTTTATTTGTGTTGATAGATTTGATTTGGTTGGATCTTTATTCTCCTCTTTTGAGCTAAATGTCTGGTAAAAATGATGAAGGAGGAGTGTACGAGTGCACAATAGCCAGTAATTTAGAGCTGAAGTATACAGGGCTAAAATGGCCTTTGTCAGTTTGCATTATTTTTTGTGATGTTGTATTCAGTTTGAGCTGCAGGCTTTAGTCCTGAAGTTAAAACAAACCTAGTCTGTACTTTGTTAAGTCATTGCTAACTGTAATAATCACAAGATAATCATCAAAACTGTCCAAATTTTAAATGACTGGATTTTTTAAAATTAACAAAACAAGAGAGCAGTTTAAAAAGTGATAACCAAGACAAGGACATAGAATACTTACAATAACAACACAAACTAGAAAACAATCACTAGGATAGTAGAGATAAAAGGATGAGTGTACTACTCATTATAACCATATTCCTAAATAAATGCTAAAAGTAACAGTAACAATAATCCTCATCCACCTCTATGCTGTAATCGTAAGTATGCATCCATATACCTTCCTATGCACATATGCCATAGTGATAAAAAAAAAAAAAAGCAAGGATATGCATATATATATATATATGTGTGTGTGTGTGTGTGTGTGTGCACAGGACCCTCAAGCTCCTAGGCCTCTGGTAGAGACATGAGCTTGAAGGATAAAGATAAAGAAGGATAAAGGGCGAGTGGGGAATTTAATTTATTTATTTATATAAATATATATAAAACCAAGCTCATCCCATAAGCAGGGTCTTAGTCAAGCAGGTCATTACAAGTCAGTTGCCATTCATTTGCCTCCTTTGGAGACTGGATGGAAATCCGAAGGCTCTGAATCGCTCTCAGACCTGTCTGGAATAAATAGCAGAGCTGAAATTTAAAATCCAAACCACCCCACATCACACAGCTTTATTTAAGGAACTTATCAAATACTCAAATTGAGTAAATAAGTCACCGACTCGACTTGTGGTGTCAACCTTGTCCCAGTAAAGCAATGAGATAGAGGAAAAAAGCAGTTTCTGTTTGTAAGTTAGAGAAGTGGTACATGTATGAAGAGTGGCTTGTTTCCCATTTCTGTTCCTCAGTTCCATGGTAATCAGAGACCTCACCCTGCGGAGTGCCGCCAGCTTCGGATCCTTTCACCTGATTCGTCTGCTATACGACGAGTACATGTACTACCTTATCGAGCACAGAGTGGCCCAGGCTAAAGGAGAGACCCCCATTGCTGTTATGGGAGAGGTATCAACATACACGGATCCAGAAATGCAAATACATTCATATAATAGTGTAAGCCACATTTACACCACTAACCAAATCCCCTCTTGCCATTAGTTTGCCAGCTTAGGCCGAGGTCTGAACCAGCTGGATCCGGATAAAGGTCTGCACTGATTCTGCTGTAGCTCGTCTTAACTGACACCTGTGCTCTAAGCTTTGCTGGTAACCATCTCTGTTATGCTGTCTGTTGTAGAAGAGGAAGAAGAAGAGGAGGAGGAGAGTGATGAAGAAGGTCAGGAGCTGTCCCTTCCCTCAGACGGGGCCGTGCTCGGAGAGGAGTCTCTGGAGCCGCCTGCCAAGCTGGCCAGAACTGACCAGAGAGTTCTCTTCGCCACTGGGTCAGCTGACAACTAGCCGCAGTGTAAATGACATGTGCTGATCTCACAGACACACACGCCGATGTACAAAGAACAGTAATTTATACCCCCTGACACCTGTATATAGAGCTTGTTGAGGTACGCCCACGTGCACTCTCGCTGCATATGGTTCTGTTTGCGTGCAGTCCTCAGGCACACACAATCAAAACACACTCAAGTCAGTAACTGCTGCTGCCCGGATGGCACAACCGCCTGTCGCCACCATTGATTACTCCCACAGTCAGTGGCGTTTTGTAACAGGACGTGGCTTCAGAAACCCGGGGTCTCTTGATGCAGAGAGGACCTTCAGTTGTATGAATCTGTAAAAACAAAACAAACTAAAGCCAGGCACTTCTTTTCGTTTATCTCCTCATCGCGCCGCAGCCTCGCTGTTTTTCCCTCTCATTGCTGTAAAACGAATGCTCGCCCTCCCACCACTGTCACTGCCGTATCAAAGTGGTCTTTAAAAGGTACTGCGGTGTGTTTGTGTGCGGAGCGGACCGTAAGCGGTGTTTGAATTTAGTCACTACTTCATTTACCGCTTTGTGGGAGCGTAGGGTTTTTTGTTGTTGTTGCTTTTTTTTTTTTTTTTTAAAGACAGCAGGCGACTTTTTTGTGTGTGTCAGCTTGTACGAGCACTGTGGTCACACCGCTCTGCTGTTATTTGTAGAGGCCGAGTGAACACGCGTTTTTACCCGGTCGTGCGCGTCTGTTTGCGTGACTCATGCCGAGTGGTGACTGTTGTGTAGATATTTTCTAGAGCATTCATGGTTTGATTTTTTTTTGATGGCGTGTGCAGATTTCCTGTGTGATTCACCTGTTAAAAGACAAAAAGAAAAAGAGAAGCTCTCGTGTTCTCGGAGTGCCTACCTCAGCTGCCACAAACACTTGTAAAGATGAAGCTCCAGCTGTGAAGTAGGAACTCCTGTTAGTTGCTGCAAGAAAAAAATTCTCTTTTTTCCTTTTTTTTAAACAAGAACATCTGGTTCCCACGAGAGAGAGAGAAGTGCCGTACGTGTACCATAGTTTATGTTTAAGTGCTTCAATCCTATCCACCCATTAAGTTCCTCTGTGCCCTCATTTGCCCTCGACTCGTTATGTTTTTGCCTTATTTCATTCTGTTTCTGTTTTTTTTCCCCCACATTTGTGTGTTTCTGGGTGCCAAACCGGTTTGCTTTGATCCTCGCTGATTTTTCTTCTTTCTTTTGTTTTTTTAAGAACTGTGCCTGAGTAAGAACGGTGATATACTTATATTCTACTGTATATTTATCCACTATTTTGAATTTCGTTGTCACTAAGTGAACCTCTTGTGCAGTGTACGGTGCTGTGTTGTCACACATTGTAAGCGACCCTCGTGTGCATTATTGATTTGTGATTGTACGTTCGGTTATCGATCCTCTTTCATATCTGATGACTTTTCCACTCACAGGCTAAGTAAGGCCCTGCCTCTTTGCACATGTTGACTTTATTGTCTAAAAGTTTTTTGTTTGTTTTTTCCCCCTCACTTTCTTCGAGGTGTTTTTTTTTTTTTGTTTTTTGTTTTTTTTAAACGGTGAGATGGAGGCGTCAGATTTCATGCAAATGTCTCTCACCCCTCGGTGAGATTCAGAGAAATCGACCGAGGTGAGAGATCTGCTCAGTCCTCCACCACCGCTCATCTCATTCCCCTCGTCTCACTATGTTTTTTTTCTCACTCTCATGCCCGATGGCTTTGTTTTGCTTCTAAAACACTGTTCATTGAGATCAGTTGTCATATTCCTTTTCATTCTGTCAATACTGTCTATAAATAGCGGTGCGTGTTTTTTCACAGGCATTGCCAGCCTCAAACCAGCACATCATCCTTTATACGAAGTCTAGCGCTACCACAGCTGAGTACATATCACTCCAGTCTTTTAATGATCTACAGCGTGCAGAATGGCCATTGTTTACCCACTAAAAAGGAAAAAAATGTTCGTCATTTTTATAGTGCGTTGTTTCTTATGTACAAAACAAAATGAGAAAAAAAAAGATGTTCAGTGGCAGTGTTTTTTGAATTTTGGTCTGCTCTAAGTATGACTGTGCCTTTGGAGGTGGTAGAATGCAATTCAGATGTTTTTAATTTTAAAGATATAAATTAAAGAATTTTTAAAATTACTCCGGATATCTCTCGTGGGTTTCTGAGTCTGATTTTATCATCTCTGTAGTCATTACCAGTGTAAGGGCGGGGTTACTGTCTGAAAAACAGTCACTTTCTTATTAAATTTGACACCCTTGGCTGAAAAAAAAAAACAAGACCGTGACTTCCTGGGCCACGCTCACACGAACACACTTGTCTGCTACCACTTCTGCTGCTGTATAAATAAGACACTGGAACAGGAAACGCAGAATACCTGAAACTCAAAAGTCAGCCTGCTTTAAGCAGAGCAGAAACGGATCAATTGTGCTGGCAACTTTTGACAGCTGGTAACCCGAGCGTGTTCACTGAGAACAGCAGAGGTGGAAGAATCAGAGGTACAGAGCAGAGAAAGATGTTATTGGTGCAGTGTTTCTGCATGTGCGAGGTCCCATGGTACACACAGGATTTTAAAGTTTTGCAATAAATAGCTGAGCAATATTCAGATAAAAGCAGAAAAGCGCAAGTAAATGACTGCAAAGTGTCATAAAGTGTCAAAGTACCATGAGTGGCCACACCTAATGAGGCTCAGAGACACACAAACATGTCATTTATGTCAAGAGACCCTCCTTTACGTATCACGTCAGGTAAGCTAACAGTGACCCCTAGTGGTGTTTTCCCTCAAGTGCTCTTTTATGGCTGGCAACAGCAGGGCATGTATTATATACTCTGCAGCCACTTCATTAGTTACTGGTTTGGAGCCACTATTGCTTTTTAAGCTGCCTTAATTCAACAAGGTGCTATAAACATTCCTCACAGATGTTGGACCATACTGACATGATAGCATCACACAGTTGCGGAAAATTTGTCAGCTGTACATCCATGAATGAAATCATCGTTTCACCACATCCCAAGATGTTCTAATGCACTAAGATCTGGTGACTGTGGAAGCTATTAAAGTATAGTGAACTCATTGTAATGCTCAAGAAATGTTCTCATTCTCTAGAGATGTCTGTGTGGGGACAAGCTGAACAAATCAAAGTTCATAGTCACTTGAATCACCTTTTTCTCTGTTCTGATGCTCATTTTGAACTTCAGCAGGTATTTTTGGCCACATCAAGATGCCTAAATATGTTGGGTTGCTGGCATGCGATTGGCTGATTAGATATGTGTTAACAAGTAGTTAAACAGGTGTACCTAATGAGTGCATTTGGTCCAAAAGCGACACAGACACGATATTCAAGATTTCAAAGTAGCTGATATATTTATTTCAGATCAGTGCTGCTGGTGGTCGTCTGTTTATAACAATCTCAACACAATATCAACCCAAGGCAAGACTCGCAGCTGCCATTCAGAATACAAGAATCATACCTGATACGTCTCCGGAAGTGAAAACCAGCAGCTTTATATTGCTGAATATACAGTTTGTGTATATACAATATATGTTAAAGCAGGACACACTTGGAAGACTAAAGTTCAAACTTTTGCACAAACAATGACCGTGGAAGGACAATTAAGAAAAAAAAAAAAAAGGCAGCGTTTGTAAAAAAGCTTTACAAAATAAAGGAAGACAACATGCAACCTGGAGTCTGCACAAGCGGCAATGAACTGAGGGATAAATTGCTGTAGGAGAACTCAGCAGTACAATCTACACAAGAATATAACTACACTTTAAAGTCTCCATATGCCGCCATTCTGAGGTGTGCTGAAAGCCCTTCTGAACTTTCCAAATGATAAGAAATAACGATGATTACTCACAGAAAGCTGGCCAAATCTGAAAAGCTATCCCCCACCCAGCCCCATCTTTCCAGTTTAGCCTTTAGTCCACAGTAAGCCGGCCTTTTCTTCTAACCCAAACTAAAGCGGTCAGGTGGAACAAACAGTTCACGAGATGGGACGTTTCAAGAGGCAAAAAGGTGTTGAGCGGTGCGATTTAAAATGAACAGAGGCAATTAATACATTATTCACATTCGTGCTTCTGAACCTTGCAGCTCGGGGCTTCTTTCATAAATCTAACCTGCGCACAGTCACCCAGATATACACGTGTTGAAACACCCTGCAAGCCTCTGCAGAGGAAGCAAAAAACCAATATGAGAAAATCAAATGAGGCATGTTCCTCCTGTGTCTCACACACACACACACGAACACATAACATGATTATAGTCCTAAAAGCTCTGTGCAAGTCAGTTAATACAACACTGGGATATGAAGGTGAGTACTTTAAAATGGGGCTACGGGATGACTGAGATGTGCTGAAAACTCTGTTAATGAAATAACCGCTCCGGGGCTCCCGTGAGTATTTAAATCTACGCTCAGGCAGCTCTGAGTAGCTCTGAGTAGCTCTGTGAAATGATCGCATTTAATCAGTCTTTTCCCTCCGTCAGCAGCGAAGCACAGGGCATCGGGTTCAGTTCACATTATTATCAAAAAAGGATCCAGATGATGTTCACATGTGGGAAGCGTTTCACTTCTAGTTGCAACGGATACAATATATATGAATAAAGGGATCGATCCTGGCCTAAGACTTCAGAGCCCTCTTCTTTATCCCGTCTTCTGCCACGAACTCTCACTGCATCTAAAATACAGACGTTTGGAGGTGAGATGTGAGACGTGAGGAGGTAGATTAACACACACAGAAACAAGACCTCGACGAGGCCGCTGCACCAACCTGTCCCTGCTGGGATTGGCCGGCTGGCCGGAGGGCTGCTGTCCTGTTTGTCCATAGTACGCAGCCTGCTGCCTGTAGTACTCCGCCCAAGCTGCGCTGTAGTCCTGCTGGCCTCCCGTTGTGGATGCTGAACCTCCTCCTCTCCTGCTGCTGCTGCTCCTGGAGCTGCAGCTGCTGTACCGGGTATAGAGCCGCCTGCCTGGGCTGAGAAACAGAAACAGACATGAAAATTAAACAACAACAACAAAATTACATAAATTACTACCTAACATATGCAACATACTCGTACCCATCTTCTTGTAGTACTCCTCCCAGGCCTTGGTGTAGTCCGGCTGGCCCCCGGTGTCTGTGCAGCCTGGGTCTGGTCACCTGCGGCTTGGGCACCTCCAGCCTGGTTTGCGGGGTACGGGGCTGGCGCAGCCCCCGATGGCTGCTGGTAGTACTGAGCGTAGTAGGCCGCCCAGGCTGCATTGGGGTCATTGGCTGCTGCCTTGCCTAGAAAAGACGCAGGGTGGAGGGGTGAGGTCCTCATAGGGTGAGGGTGAGCCCCTGCTACTGGCCTGGAGACCGGGCTTGGAGACCAGGGGGAGGAAACAGAGACAGGGTTAGAGCCAGAGCTGCTACAGATAAAGACACCGCATCTCATCACATTTCCATCAGAACTCCTGTTGACCTTCTCAGATTAAAAAAAAAACAAGTATAATGAGAAATAAGTGCGAGGGCTGAGCAGTAAACACTTAAAATCAGCAGAGGTGGTGAAGCCAGCAGTGACTCACTGGGGTCATGTGGTGGTTGAGGCTGCCACTGCTGGTAGGTGTTGCTCCAGCCCTGCGAGCTGTACTGGGAGGACCTGGAGGACCACCACTGAGGAAAGAAGAAGCGCTTTCTTATTTAAAAAACCAAAAAAACCAAAAACATCTCAGGGTCATCGTCAGTTCTCTGAAATCTGCTTTAAAGCTGCAGCCACTCACTGTGGAGGTCCAGGAGCCCCAGGCGGTCCGGGGTTGTAGGGGTTTGGGCTGTAAGGAACCATTGGCCCAGCAGGACCTGGCCCAGCTGTCCCCGGGCCCACAGGACACAGTGGACCCTGAAACACATCACATGATGCCACATGCCGAGTGTTCTTGTTGATCGGTAACTTAAGAAATAATAATTAAGAATAATGATAATCTAGAATGACAAGCACCTCGATC